ATGCTCAGAATCCCTCCAAGCGACTCCGCTCCCGCCAGCACCAACGATCCATCACCAGAGTGCACGGTGTGTGTGAGGATGTGTGTTTGTTCACTGCCAGGGCCTTCAGGGTCTCCCTACACACACCGATGGACACCGGCCGCGGCTTCCCTCGGCGTACATGAGTAATGTGTTCTTTTTCTCTCTCTAATGGGAATTCACACACACACACACACACACACACACACACACACAGTTTGGGCTTACGTAAAGCGCAATGAGTAGACGTGGTTGAAATGAGTGAGCAGCCATTTGAGGAGTTTTTTGTGGATGTTGCGCGTCGGCCTGTGTGCCTTTTCTGGAGAGCGCTCGGCAACACCTACGCTCTCAAACCAGCCCGCTGCTCATTTGTCAGCCGTTTGCTACACCTACAGTATGACGATGGACCCGACTCCGTTCTGCTGCTGTCCATTGTTCTCAGCTTTTTTCTTGCAACAGATAACACACATACACAGGAGAGAGCTACGTACAAGCCTGTATTTTGAGGCTCCTAAATAGAATGTTGAGTCCTTCAAACAATCACATTACTGCTGTGACTTAGCAACTGGGTATTAGACAGGGGCTGGACATTTTCCTCCAAAAAAGCAGTAGTTCACCTCGTTTTTTTCATTGTTAATTGTCTTTTTTTTGTAAATATAGAATATAAGATAGAGTATCATCTTCTAAACCTTTTAGTATCTGAGTCTACATTGACACGCGCATGCCCGGTGTACTTGCTGCTGGGCTGCATTCAGATCGCTCGCCTCCCCGCACACGCACACCAGCGCTTCTCGGCTTATTAGAGAAGCGCCATGAATACGTTAATGGGGTGTGCGCGTGTTTAATGTGTACAATTTTGTCCGAGCATCAGCAGTGCCCTCTGTCTCATCTCGTCCTAATGCCCCCATGTCGAAACATGTGGGCGCTTCACTTCAAACGGCTGAGAAGGACCGGGTTTGCACGCGGCCCATTAGTGCAATTTACTGTCCTTTCCAAGCCCCTAATAGCTTAAACAAAAATAGCGCACGGAAGTAAGTCTGGAGTAATGGTCGCCTCTGAAATAAAACGCCGTAGGGGTTTGTGCAGGGAGAGGTGGTGGGGTTGAGGGTGGGGTTGGTAGAGGGCAGGGGGGGGGGGGTTACAGAGATGGCAGAACATCTCAATGAGCCCCTTTCCCCTTTAGCTTCAAATCCCTCTTTACTTTCTAAATTTGGCTCTGTTGCTATCTGACCTGCAATTGGCTTTTTATTTCTATTTTTTTTAAGCGCACAGGCTACACTTCCCTCGCTCACTCGCCGGGTATCCACAGTGTTTTGGATACTAATTGGGCTGCAGTCGAGGAACTCGTGAACACAAGGTCATCCTCTTTCTGCGCTCTGCAGTCCCGTGACGACCCGGGCTGAGAACTGCTCCACACAGGTGGCACCTGGCCGTACCGGTGGAGGAATGGGTGACAAGATTTTGGATGGTTGCAATTAAAGGGTGAGACTACAACTGTAATTTATAATACAGCAATGAATTGTCATTTTCCATTTTGTTGCGTAGTCAAGCCAGTTAAGTAAACAAGCGTGAGTCTAAAGCCCGCGGCTCTCTGCCGGCTGGTCATAAACAATTTATTTAGATGGTGACATGATGATCATACAAATGTATGACATTAAAGATTAAATACGAGTAAAATTCAGGAATGGCTTGGGTTAAAACAAGAATCCCAAATATCCTCTTGGCTCTAATAAAGCTTAATCTAGAAGAAACTAATCATTCCCTTGGGTTGCGTCAACAGCTGCTATTTTGTGAAACTTGATAACATCCTATTTCCTGTTGTTTCTATCAGCTCATGACTAAAGACTGCTCACGTCTGATGACCGTGTGGTTTATTCTAATTGATTTTTGAAAAGAAACGGGTTGATAAGCTGTCTTTGAATTAGATATAGATCATAACATACGCAATTTTACATTAGGCAGCACAGCAAACTGTTAAGACAAAAATAAACAAAAGTGTATCAATGTTGAGTCACTTCAAGAATGCATCATAACTTCAGGCACTTTTTCCATTAGGAAGTACTGGATCAGTTAATGTTGCCCGGCAACCAAATGATAAGCACCTCTTGCCTTATGCTACTGGATAAGTGCACAGAATATACCAACCGTAATGACTCCATACAGACAGAAGCCATCTTCTGCAGCAGGGTGATACTACAGAAACAAGACCGTACTCGCTGCCTTTGATATGCGTGAAAACACCCACCTAGATAATTCCTGAAGAGCTGGTGAACAAATGAGCAGCAGCTGTGAAAGGGTCTAGTGGCAGAATATGCAAGAGAGTATGAAGCTGGGAAAGGGGTTGGTGGGAGGCAGGGGGGGTGTAAATGGAGATGGTGCAGGCGTCTCCATGACAACATGAGACACCTACAGCATTGTCCTTTCAGAAGCCCATCGTAGCATTTGAAGTTCATGTCAGAGCCAGAACGTTGATTCTGCCTTTTTTAACACGTAGCTGTCAGCCGACATCGCCGACCACCCACACTCCCGAAGTAGAAACGCAGCAGGGGGACGTGGAGGAGAAGCAGCTCCTTCCGCTCTCCGTGACCCGCAGGCCGTCCTCCTGTTGCGTAATCGCAGACCACAACCGGGCACTTGTGACTGCAGCGTACTGCCAGTTAACAGCAGCCTCCCAGACTGCTGTGCGGAGCTGCTGCTTGTTGACCCGCCGCGCTTCAGCTGGTCGGGGGCCTCCGGGTTTATGAGTGAGTGACTGCTACCAGATATGCGTTTGGACAAGAGGCTCGTGTGATTGACATTTGAAAAATGTGGGGTAGTGGGTGGGGGTTTGGAGGAGGGGGACGCTGATTGTTTCAGAAACCCGCTGACTGTGGTTTAGAAAAATGTTTTAAACTTGGAAAATAAAAAATGTATTGGAAAATCTTTCAGACGTCACTGCTTACAAACATCATAGAGGTAAATTAAGTATTAAGTATTTGCAGTCTCGCACGACATTACAAAAAATAATTTGTAGTTATTTCCTTAGAAATAACCGACACGTTTTGCCTTAGAAATCACAAACAATGTCCAAACATACTAAATATATGTGCTCTGCTTTGAGCGCACAACTGTAATTACCACGTCACTCCTCGAGAGCCTCTTTGCTGGTCAGAGAGCCGTAACCATGGAGATTTTTTGCCAGAAATATGTTCTACCTAGAAAAGCTGAACCTTACTTTACTTTGAAAGGGCATTAACGTCACAGAGCTGCCAGCTGTTGTCTATTATGAACAACATCACTACTTCTATCCAGGGTCTGCATGGTGCACAATATTTCACCAGGAACCGGATGCAATCTGCTTACTATTGTTTCCATACTATTGGGTTCCTCGTGTGTTAAAACATTCAGTTGTAGTGAACTGGATATCATTTGAGGACGGAAATTAGGATTCTCAGGTTCAATTTCCCCGATGCCAGATGTGAGCAGTGTCTCATTCCACGACAACAAACTGAACATGATTCAGATACTTTACGATAGAATTAATGGAACATATTTACTCAGATAATTATTTCTGTAGCCTCCCGTCTTCTCTGGTTGAAACTAGCAGCACAAAGTTCTATTATCAAGAAATCAACAGACATTGGCTAATGTGGGCGTCTGTTTTTTATAAGGGAGAGTACCAAAATAAAAAAACTATATTCTGCTACAGTAAAAAAAATAAAGAAAGAAAATGCGTCTGTGAGGAGCTGCCTCTATATACATATGCATATAAATGACACTTCCTATATAAATATAAATATATCATTAGACCACAGTGCATAACACAAAATGTGTGTGAAGAGTTTTGTGTCAGGCTGCGGCGTTGACAGTTAAATGCACGTGTGGCGTGTGGTTACGGCATCCACTGCGCCTCTTTTTGTTTGACTGACGGTAGAAATCTGAATCTGCGTCTTTAACAAAGCTCCGCTCATTTTAAGTCTTTTACCACAGTTCTGCTCCCATTCCAGTGTCCGATTGGCTAATGGGAATATCCGTCTCTGAGCCAGGGTGAACTGTAAAATATAAGGTGTGTCGAGGTGCAGGACATTAAATAAGTTATGAACTCATCTGTTACCGTGGCACGAGGTGAGCATGGGGGGTGAGGGGGGGGTTAAATTGTAAAACACTCCCTTATTTTAAACAGATGGACATTCTGGAGTTACTTTCCGTCCCACTACTTAGTATTTTACAATGCATTTCTAATGGGGCTACCACTGCTGCCAACATCCACAAGCAAACAGAGGGCTGTGTGTGTGTGTGTGTGTGTGTGTGTGACACATGAAACCCGTTGGCAGGTCAGGCTCCCTGATAAGCTTCATGCCTCAGAGACCCATGCAGATGATGTGATGGGCTGCTGTATTGTGATGCACTGAGTCGTGTCCTTGTGCCGCGGCGAGTGACCTTGTCAGGCGTCCACTCAAACACTGCTCATACTGCACCAGGATCCCATCTGTTTTTCATTGTTTCACTTTTCCTTCAGCCTGTTTACATCCTGGTATTTTCTTGAGTTTAACATATCTCCTCACACAATAGGAATAGACCTTTTGAGTGCATTTCTCAGTGCTGTATTATGCTTCTAATCATTTTTCACATTCATTCACAATGCGGGAAATAACAAGTTCACACATGAAATTGACATCAGGTTATTCCTTTGTGTGTGCAGGCATGTGCTTTTTAAAACCGGAGTGCTGGCAAGGCACAGTCGACCCTTTGCAAGTTAAACAGCTCCAAGTGAATACAGACTCCTTTGAGGATTATCCGGGAGCCCTAGCTTTAATTTTGCTGCCGTTTCGGGTCAATTAGAGTTTATAATAGTAATTCCACTCATTTAGGGTGATTGATAGCTGCTGTTGGAGGGGAAATTGGGTTCAATTAGTTTGTCTCACTGTCGATCCCTTCGTCTCCCCCTCTCATTCTCTCTGTCCCGCCGTCCGCCTTCATCCCATTCTTTTGTCTTTCCTCAGGTTTCTGGCCCGGTGATTCGAGAGCAGGAGGAAGCCGTGAAAAAGGAGTGGCATGGGGACGAGGCCGGGCCGGGACGAGCTGGGCTGGCTCCCGCCTTTCCTGGTCTTGCTACTGATGAGCACGGTGTCGCCCGCCCAGAGTCAAGGATGTCCCCAGCGTTGCGATTGTTTCGCCAAACTCAAGACTGTGTCCTGTTTTGGTAAACGGCTGTCCTCGCTGCCCGACGGCATCCCGCTGGACACCAAGGTCCTGGACCTGAGTGGGAATAAACTCCGCTGGGTGGAGCAGAGTGACCTGCTTTCATATCCACGTCTGGAAAAACTGGACCTGAGTGACAACATGGTCAGCAGCCTGGAACCGAATGCCTTTTCCAGTCTGCAGAACCTGCGGTCGCTTTCACTGAGGGGCAACCAATTGAAACTGGTCCCCATGGGGGCTTTCTCCCGTCTGTCCAACCTAACATCACTGGACCTCAGTGGGAATAAGATTGTCATTCTTTTGGACTTTACTTTCCAAGACCTGAAAAGTTTGAAAAACCTTGAAGTTGGAGACAATGACTTGGTTTATATTTCCAACAAAGCCTTCCTGGGTCTGGTGGGGCTGAGGGAGCTGACCATCGAGAGGTGCAACCTGACTTCTGTGTCCAGCCAGTCTTTGTCCTACCTGCAAAACCTGGTGGATCTGCGCCTCCGCTACCTCAGCATCTCCACCTTGGAGGACCAGAACTTCCGTAAGCTGGCAAACCTGAGGGGCCTCGAGATCGACCACTGGCCCTTCCTGGAGCACGTTCCCCCTCACAGCCTGCAGGGGCTCAACTTATCTTGGCTGTCTATTACTCACACTAACATCACCTCTGTGCCCACCTCCGCCCTCCGCAGTCTGGCTCACCTCACCAGCCTCAACCTCTCGTACAACCCCATCTCCGTGCTGGAGTCCTGGGCCCTGCGGGACCTCATTCGGCTGAAGGAGCTGCATCTGGTCAACACAAATCTGGCGGTGGTGCAGCCGTACGCGCTGGGCGGTCTGAGGCAGATCAGCCTCCTGAACCTCTCCACCAACGGCCTGGTGTCCCTGGAGGAGGGAGCCTTTCAGTCCGTCAACACTCTGGAGACGCTGCGTTTGGACGGAAACCCTCTGGCCTGCGACTGCCGCTTGCTGTGGATCCTCCAGCGCCGGAAGACCCTGAATTTCGACGGCGCCTCCCCTGTGTGCATGTCGCCCGTGGAGGTGCAGGGACGGGCCCTGAACGCCTTCTCCGACTCGGCCCTCTTCGATCACTTCACTTGCCAGAAGCCCAAAATCCGCAACAGGAAACTGCAGCAGGTCTCGGCCCGCGAGGGGCAGGTCGTGTCGTTCGTTTGCAGAGCGGAAGGCGAGCCGGCGCCGGTGATATTCTGGATCTCGCCCCAGCGCCGCCGCATCACCACAAAGAGCAGCGGCCGCCTGACGGTGTTACCAGAGGGCACACTGGAGATACGGTACGCCCAGGTGACAGACAGCGGCACCTACATCTGCATAGCCAGCAACGCGGGCGGAAACGACACCTATTTCGCCACGCTCACGGTCAGCGGGCTGCCGCTCGACGCGGCCCTGCTGGCCAACCGCACGTACTACGCGGGCGACCTCAACGACACGAATCTGAATGACACCAGGGTCTTCTTGAAGTTCACTCTGGACCTCAAGACCATCCTGATATCCACGGCCATGGGCTGCATCATGTTCCTGGGGGTGGTGCTCTTCTGTTTCATCCTGCTGTTCGTGTGGAGTCGAGGGAGAGGCCAGCACAAGAACAATTTCTCCGTGGAGTATTCCTTCAGGAAGGTGGACGGACCCGCCGCCAGCGGAGGGCAGGGCGGCGCTCGCAAGTTCAACATGAAAATGATTTGATTCTAGTGGTTCTGTTTCTCTCTTTAGAATTCTTGCCCTGTTTGAAAGGCGGTGACGTGGACCTCTGAGCTTGCAGAACATAAAATGCAGTTATTTTTTGGACATTTTATTCAGTTCAAGTTTTTTTTTTTTTTCAAACTGCTGTATATATGAGAAAAGGACAAATCTGCATGGATTTGATATATTTACATTGCCCATTTGTCGTGTGCTCAAGTCATCACGCAGCGCAAACCTGGATTTCTAAAGTATAAAGATGTCTTCAAATCTCAAATAGACTCAAATAGAAAAAATCCCAGCGGTCTTTAACCTCCACTTAGCTCTCGCCAATTCAATCGTTCTTCTCTACAAGGAAGTCGTCTTTAAAGGTCTCTGTGCTGTGTGACCTCTGTGCTCCATCGGAGGTTGTTTTCTCTCTCATCCCCCAAACCAGGAATATTTATAACCCGGCGGTGCTCAACGAATGCCAAGGACTTGCCAGTATGTATTTGATTAGTTCCAGCTACCTACTGCATATTTAGACTTAATTACAGTCAGGGTTTTTGGCCACTACTGTGACATAAATATAAAAGCTCTGCCTTTTTTTTTTTTTTTTTTGCTCATGATGAGTTTGTACAGAGTACAATAAAACGAGACTCTGCAACACTGCCAATTTGACCGTAAAGCACCGTGTGATGTGGTGGAGAGAAGATTACCATCCAAAAGATGGTGAGGAAACGAAACAGGACACTGGAGGTTAAGCTACAACTAAAAGGACGAAATGCACATTTGTGTGGTGACAAATGGGTACACGCAGATGTTGACTTTTAGGCTCTGGTGTTTTCCATTACAAGACTCTTGGTCTGAAAAGGACTGCGTGTATATATTTACAGAGGTGGCTTCTTACTTTAAATAACATGCATCATTTGTAAATGTGTTGGGGTGCACTGATCCCGCTGTTCAATTGCTCATACTGTATAGGTAGGATATATATATGCTTTATAAGATGTATTATATATTTTGCAATCAAAACCTTGTTGTTGTTTATAGTACTGTTGAGTGATCAATCTGAACCTTCTGTTCTACTGTTATTCTACAGTTAGTCTCTCCATGTCGGCGGATCCCCGAGCCCACTTAACAAATCATCGTGAAATCCGTTTACATCAGAAGTCAGCTCCCTTTCCCTTTTCTGGCGGTATATATATATATATATATATATATATATATATATATATATACTTATATGCTTGTTGTGTTCTAGGCTCATCTCTTGATCAGTGGGTTAAAACAACAGTAAACTCCTCCCAACTCCTGGCGTTCTCCGTGTTACTCTGCCGCCCCCTGCTGGCTGGAGACGGTACTGAATTGTTTACGGTCAATTAAAGCAGTGGTCCCCAACCACCGGACCGCGGACCGGTACCGGTCCGTGGGGCGTTTGGTACTGGGCCGCACCACAGAAAGCTTAAATATTTATTTTTTTCTGAAAAATGTTTTATTTTGAAAATTGACCGGATTTTCCTCCTAATTGTGTGCGCTCGTCCCTCTGACATATTGTCTGACATACATACATACTGACATACAGTTGTCCTCTTACCGTGCACGGCAGTTTCACCCACCAGCGAACACAGAGTGCGTGACTACAACACCCCCCCCCCCTAAAAAAAGTTGGGGACCACTGAATTAAAGGACAATCCGATTTTACCTCACCGGCCTTGACACTTGATAGGAAGCAATAAATTCAGTTTCACCAAGGCCAACCGTGAAGGTGATGGAAGGATGAGCTGTATTTTATTTTTCTTAGAGGTGAGAATTGATTTTGAGTGATGAGACAATATGTAATATAATAACAAATTTTACAGATTAAACCCACAATATCAAAGTATTAATGATGAACTGTGAATATGCTCTGCGCCTTGACATCAGTTCCGCAATTTGAAATACAAATTGGGTATAATTGAAGCTGAATTCTTCCTGTGAACATGGAAACCACGGTGTCAGGAAACTGCTAGACGTTTTTTGTATTGTATTGTTTTATAAAAATGAAGCACAATGTTTATAAAGCATGCTGTAATCTGCTATGATGTCTTTGCCCTGTCTTTTTCCTTTTTTTCCCCTCTTGCGGTCATCTGGTCACTCAACCGTTACGGTGGAAGTCTGAGAAGTTTGAGCGCTGACATCACACCCGTGACCACGCCACTGTGAAATGTTTGTTTTGCAAGTTGTTTTTGTCGTATTAGATTTTTTTTTAGTGGATAACACATTAAGATGTCACTAAGGTGAATTATATGGTACTGCTTATACTGTATGAGGAGATTGATGTTCATTTTCTATGCATTCGTCACATCAAAAGAGTTAAATGTCCTTTGTGAGCAGATTAAAAATAGCGCCGCGTTCACGATTCGATGTGTTCCTTGCTCTTCACTCACGAATCGTTGTAAATCGCTGTAATGACTGGATGTAATGTGTGAGCGTAACTTGTGTAACTGATTTTAGCCCGTTGGCGTTCATGGGCCAAGTGACTTCGTACAGTTGTAGTCAAGTGAACACACGAATAAAACCCGGAATGCACTTCAGGAACACCTCGAGGTGGAAGTAGAGGGCAACAGGAAGAGGCCCATACATGCACATAAATCAAACTAAATCTTTTCAAATTCTATACTTTTTAAAGGCCCCCTTTCCACTCAAAATGCTTATTGTTGCTTCACCAGTGTAAACTTCACTTTGCAGAATGATGCATCACTAACATAACGCGTTAAACCTCCAGGGTAAAAGCAGAGAAACTACTTTTATGTGACGTTTCATGATCCTGTGCAAAAACACGCTGTTAATCCTCAGCAGGGTATTTTCAACAAGTATTAAAACATGACGAGAGATCTCTAACTATCGCTAAGTTAAGATGAACAGGCCATGAAGTCTCGCAGTGAAGATCTAACACTGTTGCTCTCTCACACACACACACGCACACACACACACACACACACACACACAGATAGACCCTAAGACAGACAGCTCATGTCCTGTGGGTGGTGGTGTTGCCATCGTGGATCACACCTCTCTGAAAGGTTCCATGAAGGTGACCATGTCTCAGATGAGCAGATAGGTCACTGTGGGGGTCCTGTTGGGGGGAGGGGGGCGGGGGCACCAACCCACAACCAGGAATGACGTAACAATTTTATTTATTTTTTCAATATACAACCCCTCTGTACACTGTCATGGTTTTTACTCCTCTGATCGATCCCTCAAATTATTATTACATTTCCAAAGAGTCACTTTGGTCTTTCAGAGGATCTGAGCATTGCACATTAATATTGATATTTTTAAATCCATTCAGTCTGGCTTCTATTTTGCGTTTTTTTATAATTTGTTTTTTTAGACTTATGTTTTTTGTATTTACTTTATTTCTCTTTTTCATTACGAGTTAATTTAACTTAAATGACCATTTTACCGTACTACCAAAATCTATTTATTCTATGTTGTATTTAAATGTTTCCTTCACTTCATTTGGTTTTGCATTAGCCTTACTTCCTCTACTTTTTCTTTTTTATTATCAATCATCCCTAAAGTTGAGTTGCTGTTCTTAAATGTTACAGAGAAGGAAACGTGCACCCGGTTCCATCGTTAAATCAACCAAAATAAAACTATTAAAACGGAATTCGATAGTGACGAACTTAATTTTTCTGTGAACAACTTATTCCTCTAGTACGTAAACACTCACCAGTTATGCACCAGAAACCCCTCTCAGTTCAGAGATGAGTGTTCAGAGGAGTCGATCTCTCCTAACGAATTAACACGTGTCACCGACATCTCAGTAGAGACTCTGAGAGATGTGTCATCGACCAACACCACAAACATCTCGCTGTCAGCCGCTCGATGGGTCCGGCCTTTATTTTTTTTAACATGCACGTGTACCTCATGTACCTCATGACAGCAGCGGTTAAGTGCACCCAGCTCTGAAACGCTGCCACCAGATGTGTCTCTGCAATGACATCAGACTGCCCTTTGACACACAGACGCTCTTCTGCAGCACCACAACTATTTCCAGCCGTGCAGCGGGAACATCGCTGGTCGATGGAGGTGATGTAACCGCGTGGGTTGGGTTCTAGAGTTTGATAGTCAGAGGTTTAATCTCGGAGGGTTGGGAATTGTCGTGTCGTTACTGGGAACTGTTGCAAATATTATAATTCTGTGTCGTTAGAAACATTATGTTCTTGTGTGAAGAGAGAGATTTTGATTGTGTTTGGTGCCATTAGGAGTAAATAGTATTTTACCATGATGTTAAAATAAGTGGGGTCAAAATCAACATACGTTTTCCAGGGTTTAGTTTGCATATAAAATCAGGATAATATATTACCATGTCTGCACAGGAACATGGACAGTGTGTTATGTTAAGGTATGTAGTCATCCACTACATTTACTAGTTACAGTTCACTTATTCACTCTTTTTGTTCTATGTTTTGAATTAGTCTTCGACATCAATCATTTTAACTTTCTTTACCTTTACCTGAGCAGCCCAGCTGTTCACGTTGCACAAAATAAAAGGCTGGATGCCGGAGCCAGGAGACCAGTCAGCAGCTGCAGAGAACAAACTACGACGACCAGCAAGGCAACCGAATTAAAGACGCACAATGGGGGTTAAAATGAGCGGCTTCGCAGCTCGGGTTGTGATCAAAAGAAAATGATGCATGTTCCTTAAAGACTTATTGAATTAACCGAGACAACGCGCCGAGTGACGCATCCGTGACGCTTGTGACAGCTGGTTGCTGCTAACATGCTACATGCTGACAAGACTTGTGTGCGCAAACATTGGGATTGGGAATTGTCATCCCAGGAGGATTGTGGGAGCTCAGAGGGGCCAGAGAGGCCCATCTGGACTGGTTCTACTAGGACAGAGAGACTGAGGACTCCTGTGTGCACCTGCTCAGATAGGTGAGGACCACAATGCACCGCATGGCAACAAATGCTTAAAAAAAAAGCATTAATCTGTCATTTTTGCTGCAGCTGATATTGTTTATTTGTGTTGTCTGCTATGGGGGAAGTTATAAAGTTAATTATAATTATATATTATAGAATCCCTTCGCTTCATCACCTGAACTTTATGAGGTTGGTCCAGATGAGCGGTGGGTTACTAAATGTAGGCGTGTTACTTGTGGCACTCGGCTGTTATTTGTGCATAATAATAACATAATAATATAATAGCATAATAATTTGTTACATTTTCTGGTGAATTATTTCATGGTTACATGAGGAAGGAAGTCTGTCGGTTTGGGGTACATTTGATGACGTTGTCCTACTTGTGTCCAACTTGACATTCAATGCAATCCTTAGCCGAGAGATTTTCTTTATTTTGACAATATTAACATATTTCCACACAGGGTTATCTAATTGGTGGTTATCATAGAGACATAATGGAGGAGGAGGGAAAATGGATGTGGATGTGTTTGATTTTTGATCTACGGTTGAGTCCCTTAAAGGACGACACGTTACCATATTGCATTATTTCTACAAATGTCAAAGGTAGTGAAAAGCAGATGGAAATAATGGGCACAAGGTAAGATGAGGTCAGGGAGCGTGGGAAATTTACCGTTTCAAAAAGGATCGTTTGGAAAGAGAAGGCCGTGTCGTGAGATCTAAATGCTACTAATGTTTGAGTAAATATTCCAACTTGTTTCTCCAGTTTTCTCTGTTTATTGTGTGCCACGAATCCACCTCAGGGTGCTTTTCACTAATTGCTATTAACAGCCCCAATTGCCAATTGCGTTCCCGGGCAAAAAACTAAATAATGTATTTTCTTTGACAGTTTCCTTGTGTGTCTTTGAGCCTGCGGGCGGTTTGTAAAACTGGAAACCTGCTGCAGCGTGGGGTTTAAAGACAGACAAATACACCAAAATACCCAACAGATGAGGAAGAGGAGGAAGCAGTCGGCTGCTGTCCCGGCATCGCGTGCACTAGTTTCACTTTGGGTCTCCGGGCCGTGGGCCGCAATTTATTTGTTGTTGTTTTAGCAGAAGCCTTCAGTCGCCCAGTTGTACAAGTTGGCGTCCGTATGGAGACAAGCGACGCGGTGCTTTAAATATCGATGGATGCAGAGAGGACTTCTTTTCTGACTTGGTTTTTTAGGTATGTATTAAAACAAACATAAATATCTTTTAGTTTCTTATTGAGTAAATTTTTTTTTAATGACACAATGTGGCCCCAATTGTAGCCATTTGGAATATTACATTTTTCAAACATGCTGTGGGCGAAACGAGAGGAACGTGATGATGACCGAGGGTAATAATGCGTGATGTTTGAATCTATTCCAGCCTCTGATGTGAAAGCACAAAGAGACCTGAGAACTTTCGCATGAACGGAATCTCATGAAACCTTTTTTTTTTTTTTTTAAACCTTCTTTATTTACATAATTCAGTGCGTTTTCATCTCGTTCGTTTGCAAAGCTACAGTTCTCGTCCTCTCTGGACTGCTGACCTAAACTTCAGAAAAGTCTTTGAGAGGCTGCCGCGGTCGGGGGCAGCGACACGGCGCACCGTTCGGTCAGTTGGACGTGTATTGTCTCGGTGGGGAGTAGATCCTGTGTCCCCTCGAGGGGATCCTGCGAGGCGGCGGCGGAAAGGACGGGGACGACAGCCCCGGGACCTGCTGCTCCTCCTCCTCGTCCGAGGCGGTTCTGGCGCGGACGGGCTTCAGCGGGGCGGCTCCGGGGAGAGGCGAATAGCTGGCCAGATTTTGGGGCAGCATGAGGGGAGTGAGGAGGCCGGACCCGGCGCCGCCGGACGTGTTCAAATACGAATAGCCCCTCATGGCGTGGAGGGCGTATGCCGGGATGTAGACTGGGTGGGGAGGCTGAGGTCTCGCCATGACCGAAGACTCCCTGGCCCCCCGGTAGTAGTCCCTCCCCAGGGACTGGTGGTATGTGCCGGCGGCAGTGGCGGGCTGGGGGCCGCTGTGGGCGTGCAGCTGGCTGCTCAGGTGCGCGGTGTAGGCCGCCGGGTGGACCAGGCCGAAGTGCAGCTTGATGGCCATCAACTCGGCGGCGAGCCGGCTGTTCTCTTCTTTCAGGGCCATGAGGTGACTCTCCAGCACGTGGTCGTTCAGCCGCCTCTTCTCCCGCGAGCGCTTGGCCGCCTCGTTGTTCTTGTGGCGTTTCTCCCAGTACTGGGCGTCCTTCTTCTCCTCGGGTATGAACTCCCTTTTGCGGCGGGATCCCTTCCGCTCCGGGTCCTCCCCGCCTTGGCCTCCGTGGAGAGGGGACGACAAGGACTCCATGGCAGAGAGACAGAGACCTGAAATGGCGAGGCAGAGAGCAGAGAGGTTTTAGTCCCCCCCCCCTCCCCCGTGGGAGGCTGAGTCACACAGGTATTTGTTGCATAACAGCTGATCTTCTGAGGAGGCCTAACCTCATTTGCACCTCACTCCGTCTGACGCCTCCTGCGCTCAAACGCCCTTTCAGACCTCAGCTCACCTACCTGTCTAGACCACAAGGTCAAATGTGACGGGGAAACAAGCTGCCATGGAAGAGATGTGGTTGTCAATCAATCTGCAGTTCTCTGCCCAATTCGCAGCATAATGAAGACGAGTATCGAGTCCTCGATACTGCATCAATTTTTAGCGAAACGCGCAGCATCAACTATCGATCTCTGACGAGGATTTATGTTTCTTCTTTATCTCCCACAGGGCGGTCAGTTTGTTTGAACGGGGCCCCGAAGGTGAAACGTTTTGAACAGGCAGTCTGAGAGTAACGCGAGCTGCCTTTTTGATATGGTCTCGTTCAGGCGCGTGGGTTTGTGGGTGGTTCGATGGGAAGCTGTGAGCGAGAGATGAACATTGTGTTGAAACCACAGCCTCCCACCTCTGTGCTCGCAATCATGAGCGCACAGACTGCCGCACGCACACACACACACACACACTGCTCTGACGCACACACACACACACACACACACAAGGGCGGCCTTTCAACTCACTGGCGTTGGCCTCACACCTTTTTCTCGCGAGCAAAAACCACAGTGGAGCCGTCCTTCTCTAATTGGACATTGCGCACCCGACACCTTTTTAGTTCACTCGGGAAGAAGCGAAGCAGAAGCCGTAACTTCACAGGCGATTACCTCAAAAGTTATCATGCAGCGTCCTGTTCAGTCAGGGACTTCTTCTTTTTACTTAAAATGTTTTTTATTTTTTTATTTCTGTACTCCTCGGCCTGTTGGCTGACCTCGCGGTCGCCAGTCGGGCCGAGCCGGGGGGGGGGGGGGGGTGGGGGTGGGGGGCCCTCGGAAACAAAAGGTCCCCCAAGGGGGCCGAGCGCTCTGTGGGCGGTGGTGAGAGAGCGCGGCGGGTTAAAAATACCCACGCCTGTGCCCAGCGAGGACACGCACCCCGTGAGTGTGTGTGTGTGTGTGTGTGTGAGAGAGAGACACACACACACACACACACACACAGAGCGTTGTTTACTGTGTGCTAGCATAGCCGCAAAAGAAGCAGCAGCAGGAAGAGAGAAAAACAATAATCGTATAGCGAGATCGAGAGTTTACGAAAAGAAAAAAGAAGAAAGGGAGGGTTCCTGAGTGAAATCTCTCTCGAGGCCGAGTGCTGCTCGCCACTCTGCTGCACATTCGCACCTGTTTCTTATTGACTAATAATAGCCGGCCTGCTTTTTAGTAACCTTCCAACTTCTCCTTTTTTTTCTTTCTTTTTTTTTTGTCTATCCGTTTTCTCGTACTCAACCATCTGCTGTTGTGAACCCTATTGTTAAAATAACTATACGTCCCACACTGTATAGCAGAAACCGATCAGTCCGTATTGTTTCCACCTCACATGTGTTTTTGTAAACTGCCAGTGCGGAAATGGGAGAGAATGAATGCTGTCTCGGGGGAATATAATATAGTGTCTTGAACAGTCCGTTAACGGACAGATTCCTTGATGGGCGGCGTTTATAACTCGATGAACAGTCGCGTGTGTGTTTTTAGATGGAAAGCCCAATCGAACCATCCCATCACGGTCTCTAACCTGATTACTTTAAGTGGAAGTATTTACGGCATCAAGAGGCAACAAATACATGAAATGTATCACTTTCTATGGCGCCCGTACACTATTTTTTACAATACATACTTGCTTATTTTTTTTGTATAAAAGATCATTGTCTATTATAATTTCCTACTTTCCTTTTTATTAATCATCGTAATAACTATTATGTCAGTTGCGAGTGCTTTAAAATATCATACAGTGATGTAAATCAAACCATTAAAGGCATAGAAAGTGAAACTTCAAATGTTCAGTGAAGAAAGTATATTAAGATATTGATTCGATCATGTTTTTATAGATGGAGTAAGTCTTCTAAAGTCAGTGTTTGACCGTCGTACTGTACACTAAGATGCTTTTTAGTGACGTCTCACAAAAACACGCGACTGCTGCAGCCTATGAACACAAAATCACAGTTTCTCATGACGTGCTTGCAGCCCATCTTAATCTGAATCACTACAAAACAATAGCATGGCAGTAAACGCCACCATATCACCAAATTCACTTCAAAAATCTGGTGTTTTGTTACGTCGGACTTTCATGTGAGGTGTTAAATATTCCTTCTACCTCAAAGATATATATATATATATATATATCGTATATAGGTCTTGATGAGCACGGCCTTAAGTTAGACAAAATTCAGCTAAGAATACCGTAACGGTTCTTCCTCCCGCATCCAAAGATAGAAAAAGAAAGAAAGAAAAGATCTTTAGCTTATTCCACTGTAGAGGCTTGGAATATCCTTATTGGTTCCATCAGAGGTTTAATATCTCACTTTTATATGAGTAGACCTATATTGCAGATACAAAATCCCAAGCATTCTTTATTTATTTCTTAATTTTCTTTTTTAATTAAAAAAGTGAACCGATTACCTTTCAAGCTCATTGTTTACATTAAAAAAGCCCCCCAGATTTAAATATTTATATTACATTTTATGTGATAGACAATCAACGTGGACCATTTACATCACGGCTTTGGTAGATTTATAAGTGTATAAGTATTCCAGGCCAACACTTCCTCTTCCTCAAATGCTTCTTGACGGATAGGGTAACATCTTCTGCAATCTACACCAAATTGATAGATTTTGTTTTGATAACTCAAGCCCGGTCACTTATTTCGGCAACATGAACATTGTTTCATGCTCTTCAATGGGTTTGAACGAGCTGACTCGCTGCTTCCATCACCATAGAACGCGTGTATACGTGCAAAGAAAGGCCCCCCGAAAAAACACCGCCCCGCTCCTCTCGCCAGACCGCTTTTAGGTGCGAAAATACACAGGAGGCCTTACCGTCAACGGCAGCGTGCAGAAAGTCCACCGACCAGCTTGTGCGTTCCTACTCCTTCACCCGGAGATGAAAGCTCAACGCGGGGAACCGTCCTCTGAGACGCCGTCGTGAGATTGATGCACACAGGAGGAGGGGAGTGGGGGGGAGTGGGGGAGAGTGTGGGGGAGTGGGGGCTGGTAATTGTCTCTTTGCTCTCAGTCCAATCTCCTTCTCCGCTGTCTCTGTTGCTGCCCCCCCTCTTTCCTCAATCTTGATGTGTGGTGACGGAGGCCTTCCCTCGCAGGGGCTCTGACCTGCGCGCTGCTGGTAGTTTCAATCCCACAAACAACAACAACTTTTCGGAGAGGGATGTGCATGTACCAGGCCGCCGGATTACAGTGGCCACGTGGTGCTTACCTGGGCGCTTCTCTCCAGGACCAAGACTCCGATGTCGCTCAGAGAGTTGTGTGTTTCGGGTGTTTGCGGCCGTGCGCGTCCGAGACGAGTAAAGTGAAGTGGTGAATAAATATTTTGGGCCCCTCAGATTCACGCAATAAAAGGGAAGTGCTCGCCGCTTATCGGCGTGGAGGGCAAGGTTGTAACTTCTTGTCTGATCGTCTCTGATCTGCTTTTTAAAAAACGCAACGTAGAACCGCTTGTTGTATATTTGAGCAAATTGGCTTTGTGATTGGCATCAGCGGATACTTTTACCTCAACACCCTGTTTCTATGTATAGACTGTGACATGTAGACCAGCACAGTTTGCTTCCTGTTGTGATGCGCTTGGGCCGTGAATGTTAGAAGGAACCGTTTTTTTTTATTGTCATTATTTGTCAAAGAGGTTGTAGACTCATTGCACATCGACAAAGTACTTTTTAAGATCTCGCACTTGGTGCCCTCATACGGGAACGGATAGACTTCTTTTTCAACTTCCTGTAACTGTTTGGATTTAACATCATTTGACGTAAAACAATGTAGAAAACACAAAAGAAATGTGCAAGTTCTGCCCCATAAATTATGATTTACACACCGACTTCAATCGGCAAATTTAGAAAATAATTTGGATCGAGATTTACTGTGAAGCTCCACTGAATCATCCTCAAATTCCTACATTAGCAAGACAATTTAATTCAATTGATTTGAGTTCAACTTGGTTATTTAAAAACGTGTGTGCACAAAACGTCACAGGGTTAGAAATATTCAGGAGTTAAACTGTCTGATCAGTACAACAAATTATATTTAAAAAAATAATTGTTCTAAAAATGTTTCCAACTCCCAGTTTGTGTATGTGACTGAATCATCTTACTTTATTCAGCCCTTAGTAATAGTGTTTTAACATATTACCTCACAATAACAAAAATAAACGTAAAGGAAGAAGCCGTGTATTAATCAACTCCATATCTCGGCAACAATTGTCCTCTAGCCTGAGGTCCACCGACGCTTTGCTCTGGCGCCCCCTGCCGGTGGCCTCGGGAGCTGCGGGACCACCTGCTGAGAAGCCGGTGCTGAATAGAGTTCAGAGAGCACGTGACAAGCAGGAGGAATAATACGGTTACTTTCGATTGGTTCTTCCGGTGCAGTTAACAGATGCTCACACCACGGTGGTATTTGCACCAGTACTGAACTAAATGACCGGAAAGTGCCAATTACTTTTGGTCATAGTGGCATTAACTTTTTTTAAACTTCGGGATTGTTTTTGTAATTTTAATATTTCGTTTGTATCCCTCCCAAATGCTATTTACCTACTGACCTCTTAAAATTGCACTAATTTCTTATTTTTCCATAACGTTTGCAAAGACAGTATTTTGCAGAGAAGTGAAGTTTGTTTGTGTGTATTTGACAGTACACACATTGGAAACCACGCATCTGTCGTTTTATTAATGTTAATATCCAGACAAACAAACGAACAGTCTATATATGGAACAGAGGAGGTGATGCCACATGAGCTGTAAACCAAATAAACTTTTCAACGTTTGGTTTTCCACTGAATCTCAGACTCCGGGGAAATCACGCATACGGGAAATACCGCTCTTAGTTTCGCAGGAGGTGTGAATATCCGCAAATGAACGTCAAGAAAAAACCAACGGAATATGAATATGAAACAATCGATCTAATATGTCTCTACTTTAAATCTATTACATGTACTTTTATAAAGCAAAGTATCCTTGGTAAATGTTTGAAGTTGGCGAATTTATCATCCCTATTCCCCACAAAGTTTACAGAGTTACTCTATAAAGCCCTGGTCTGTGAGTGCAAGACAATGGAGAGAAATATAAACTATCCGAATATTCTGTCTATTACGGTACAGTCCGTCCGCTGTAATCCCAGCAAATACAACGTGAAAGAACAATCCTTAACTTTATCAAACATTTTAATTGACAATGTATAACAATATCATACATCGGCATTTATATATATTTTAAATATATATAATATATATATTTTAAATATATATAATTACCAAGGATCAAAACACACTTTGTTAGCGTGCATCAGGACTGCGGTGCATCTTCAGGGGAGTCGGCACCGCCGGCGAGCGGCTCATGAGAGCCTCCACGCCGACGCCCTGGCCCCGTGTCTCCCGTATGTAGAGAGGCAGGTCTGGGTACACGGCCGCTGGGACCCCGTAGGACGACCGCCAGGGTAGCAGAAAGTTATTGCACGACACCGCCGAGGGACTCAGAGGCGGCACCAGCCAGTTCCCACGCGACAGGATGGACGCGTGGCGCAGCTGGCCCGGCGCCTCGGTGGACTTGTGGACGTCGTCGCTGGAGGACACGTGTCGCTGGGCATCCATCTCGGCTGCCCTCGCTGACCTCCCGCCGTCCAGCGCTGCAGCTCCCGGCCCGAAGAGGGGCGAGACGCATCGCGGCGCGCCGCAGCTGTAGTAACCGTGCGGAGCGAAACCCCCGACGCGCGGCAGCATCTCGGCCTCAAACGGGTGGACGGCAGCGCAAGCCGGGCCGCCGCCGCCGCCGTTGCCGCCCCAGAGTCGTGGCTGGAAGAGGGCGGCCGAGTGGACCGGTCGAGGTGACCCGGGCGAAGCGCAAACCGGTGCGCCGGATGTCGCAAAGGCTCTCGGGACCCCGCAGTGCCCCGTGCCGAGGACGCGGGCCCGCAGCTGCGCGTTCTCCTCGCTCAGAGCCAGCAGCTGGCCCTCCAGCAGCCGCTCGCTCAGCCTCCTCCTCTCCCGGGACCGCTTGGCCGCCTCGTTGTTCTTGAGTCGCTTGTCCCAGTAGGCGGAATCTTTCTTGTCCGTGGGTACCATCTCCCTCTTGCGGCGCACGTAGGGGCGACTCGCGTGGCTCCGCGAGCGCAGAAGACGGCGGCTCAGCAGGGAGGCCTGCGTCACCGGGAAGAGGGACTCCGGGTCCGGATCGGCCTCCAGGTATCCGCTGTAGTCGGCGGTGGAGGAGGAGGAGGAGGAGGGGGAAGAGGACGAGGAAGAGGACGAGGAAGGCTGGCAAGGAGCAGCCGCCTCCTGCACGCTGGGGCTGCTCGAGTTGGACATGGAACTGCAATAGAAAGTTTTATATTCATTATAGTTTTGTACCATCTGGACCCTGAGTCCGAAATAAAAGTTTGATGATTATTTGTTTTATTTTATCTATTGTTATCACCAGGGCTACTTTTGAGTTTTTTTGTTACTTTTACTATATTATATAGATATACAATGTAATTTAAATGAAATTGCTTATCTGGATGTACGCATTTGTTACATTACAAGTAGAAGTACATCCACTTGTCTGTATTTTCGCTTGAAAGAATACGCGAGAAATTAGCAGTGAAACCTTGTTAATTGTTATAGGTTTATATGCACATTACAACCAACCTTACTTACCTGAATCAGAAGTTAACGCTTGTGGGATAATTTGGCAGAAAGGATCGACTCTGCGAGAACTTGTTGTAAACTTTTCAACACATGCAAACACATTAACGTACAGAGTTGGATGCATATTACTCAAAGTAATCGTGTGTGTGTGTGTGTGTGTGTGTGTGTGTGTGTGTGTGGATGGATGTTACTTACCTGTCAATCACAACCAGGTGCTGAAGAGAGAGAGAGAGAGGGAGAGCGGAGCTGCTGCGCCCCACGCGTGCACGGTATAATGAACAGCAGCCAATCGCGTCGTGCTTTTTCTTTGTGTGCGTGTGCGTGTGTGTGTGTGTGCGCGCGCGTGCGCGCAAACTGATCTGCAAGTTCACTCCGAAGAGCGGAAGTCCAAGACAACACATGTGGTCACGATCAAACCGACAGTCGATGGCGAGATGAGTCACTTCGGATCATTTGCCCTACTTATCTCTCACTGCAGAACGGTACGTTGATTTTAGGTGTGTGCTGTTCACCGAGCTTAGTGCGCGGTCTGCAGCCGTAACAAATGAATGCACCGTAAGACATTTTTTAGAGTGTGTGAGTGCTGAGTGACCAAAACACATTCCATACTTTGTAGAAATGTAATTTAGCTGAACTGGAAGTATTATTACTTATTATTTGTGTTTATTTAATCTGATAATTTATTGATAGATTAATTCGTTTGCTCCATAAAATTGATGATTGTAAAATGATTATTTTTCTGAATCTGAATGGCCAGCTTTGAGTGAAGTCTCTGCGTCCAATCAAAATAACGTTTTAATGATGTCGCCAGGTTGTTTGTTCGCAGGTTGTTTGTTCGCAAACTTTAGGATTAAGAGCATTGGCGGCAACATTTTACCAGGTAAAGCTGTTGTGGAGCAGATTGGTCATTATAACATTCATAGAACTACTTAAAACTAAGCGCATTTGTTTCCTGTGTGTTGGGTCCGTGTACCTTTTTGATAGTTCCTTTTACCGTTGGTGTTTCCGTATTTTCGTTCCATGGTATAAACGATAAAAGGAACTGTCAAAAGGTATACTGACCGTGTTGTCATCACAGTTTTCTGTGGGTGTTGTTTTAGTAGCCGGGTGGAGGGCCTTTTAGTGCACGTGGGTTGGTAGTTCCCACCACTGGCGGTGAAATAACCATTATGTGCACATACATAATGGGGCCTTTTACGGTTCGTCCCCTAACAACACAACAAGAGAGTTTTATGTTGCCCTTTGAACCGATGAGCCAAACCTGCACTTTGATGCTAACATGTTATGCTAAATGGAACATTAACATGTTATCCTTCTAAACATATACAGCCAACAGGTGTGTGACAGTCGTAGGGGGCTCTGCCTTCAGTTAGCGCGATAACATGCTAAATGTGATTACATGTACGGTTGGTAATGTAATATCAAGAAGCTATAAGTAAACATTTTAACATGTCAACACTTTTGGCTTTGCAGTTTGTTTGCAACGTTTTCACTGTGGCTTTCTCGTCATAGGGGGCTATCCGAATCAGTAAGTGGGGGGGGCGGGTTGACCAAATTCTTTCTCTGACTCACCGTAACCACGGATGCCGCAGTCAGCCATGTTCATACAGTCAGGTTCGTCTCTCTGTAGAAGTTGGTCTCCAGATTTCTAAAGACGTTACGACATCTCGAATTGCATTGATTCATGCTGATTGCTCTGAAAGCCAAGAAGTAAACATGCAAATGTAGTTGAAGTGCTTCTATAACATATTTAATATTGAATATGCCTCAGAAATGTGTAGTGTGTCACAGAACAGAGTACAGGTCAAATGCCAAGAACACCAGGATGACCTCCTCTATCCTGTCACATTTTCGCAGCATGCAGCCAGCATGCTTTTTGAGCAATTCTAACTCTCATTCTGAAGGCCGGCACAATGATTAAGTTGGAATATAATTAGTTATCCAGCTATGATTGACTGTGCTGCTCAGAACGAACTGACTTTGATGATGACTCACCGCTTCGAAAGCATGCGTGTGGTACATCAAGGCATGCCTACATACGTTCTACCACGGCCACTTTCTCATTTTGTGGCAACACGCGCATCCTGTTGCAGATAACTTCTCTGCGCGTGGATGATTTGTCCCGAGCAGCACAGGTGTTTTTTTAACAACGTGGTGACCGCCCGGTTCATCGACACTATCACAACGCAGTATCCGCTTCTCATTCGGGCGGTTGGCATGTTGTCCCATGGTCATTTTTTACATATCATCCTCACACAGAGGGCTCCAGTAGTGTTGGCAAACACGAGTTAAACAGGGCTATTCAGCGGTGGAGTCATACTAGTTTGGTGCTGCTTTTTTGAGAAAGTGGAGGGGACCTGACCATTTGTCCGATTTAAACTTGAACGCATTTCTAACCATGTCTTTGCCATATGTGGTACATAATACGCTGACTATTGCCAAGGTAATATGGGTTTTATTTCCCACGCCCATAAATTCAATTCGATTGATTTAAGGATCAACTCAAATTAAACTAAAGTGCAAAGATTATTGTAATGAAACACGTGAGCCAGTGCGTCGTATCTTCGTACAGCTTGAACGATGTTCCTCGTTAGTGTGTTTAAGGCAACCAAGGAGACCGATGGTGGTCGGGCGAAGAAAGTGGTAGCGGTAACCAAGCGGTACAACAAAGCTAGCGTTGCATAGCGTGAGCGGGAAACGAATCGCTGTCAAAAACAAAGCCTCTCGTCCGTCAGAACCGAGGGAACCGTCACAACCACATTCTTGGTCATTCACTTATCCGGATGACCTGCACTGGTGTCTGTCCGTTAGTCGGCAAGGATGCTAATTAGCACTACCAAGTTTTCCGTTAGCTCCCGCGGTTGACCGCGCCTGCGCGGTGACCCGACGGGATTTTTCTTTTCAGCGGCAGGCGATCTACCGGCACTGCCTTGACGATTGACCTATTTGCCCCCCCTGTGTTAGAGCTTTGGTTGTATTTCCCTCTCTAATATCTATGACAGACATGATCATGTTATGATTTAGCTCATTTTCACCGAACGGGGCCTGAACGCATCACAATGTAACCTTTGTTCTCCATCACAATGGCTCTGTTACCATTGGGGACGTTGCATCTTGGGAAACTTTTATGTCATGTCAGCCCCCCCCCCCCCATCCTCTCTCTCACACACACACACACACACACACACACACACACACACACACACACACACACACACACACACCGTGTTCTACTTTCAACAAGCTGCAGCTTGTATGTCAAGCCTTGTGTATTTTACAAACCCTTTTAAAGGGGGTTAAATGTGTGATATTTTGGGGTCTGCTGGCCTGATTCCTGCTCCTCAACTCACTGCTGAGCAGTTAACCACTTCTGCTACAGGAAGTTGAGTTGAGGATATCGCCCCCTCCCAGTCGGCTTCTGTGTGACTCTTGCCCGGAGCTTTCTCCCACCCACTGAAATCAAGTCAAAGGTAGCCTCAGGGTCAAACACTGCTCAGATGCTGTGAGATACAGAATGAGGTGAGAACAAACGCAGGTAGTGGAAATCATGTTTTTTGTTTTTCACCGCACGGCGAAACACAGCGTGAGCGTGTTTGGGCCGTCGTAGATGTTGTTTTCACGTGGAAGTGTAGGAGTTTGTATAAAGTGTGACTTAGATTTCTCTCTGCACATCGACGCTTTGTCGTGAAGTGAAAGAAAGGAGTTAAATGTGTGAACGTGTCCAACATCACAGCACGGTGACTTCCTCACAATTTGAAGAAATGAATCTGTCGTACATTTATGACGTATTTTGTCTTTTTTTAAAAAGTTGTTCCCGATTTAGCAGTTTGTTCATATTGCAATTTTCTAATGAACAAAACATGAAAAGTTAAACTCGTCACCTCTTGTGTCTGTTTCACTGGCTGCCGATAGCTTATGTGAATGGTAAATGCTTTAAAAATATTTTTATATTTTATTTTAATTATTTGATTATTGATTTCTAAGAATTGAATTAAACTCCAGTTTCTTACTTTATTATCCTTCTAGCAGGGACAAACTACTCGCATGTCCATACGTACAACAATAGGATGATGATTGCTTTAATTGTCTCATTTCAGTCGCTACGAGAAGGAGGAATATTTACAACTGTTTCAACGCACGAATGTGACTTTTTTTTAAAACGCGCTCTTTTAGTGCTTTACTCATTTGTTTCTTTGGCTTTAAGATTTCTTTTTTAATTCCTCCGAGCAGACTAGAAATTAGACAGGAACCCACAGGCCCAGAGAGATGAGTCTCCCCTACGCGTAAATGCCTGTGAGGTTTGGCAGCTGTAATGGCCAACGGCTCCACTGTGGTGGGAAAGCCCGGCTCATCCACTGCCACTGTCAGGGGAGGCCCGAGAGCCACGCCATCGGCACATCTCCCTAACCACTCTGCAGCGCAGCCCAGCTGTAAAAATAGATAGGAAAGATCGCCCTAGATATGCACAAGCCCGCACACACACACACACACACACACACACACACACACACACACATTAGACGTAACAAACGCACACCTTTTGTGTTGGTATGTGGCATTTGTGGGGACGGCCACACTTACATAGGAAAGAGAAATGAGACAAAGATATGAAACCAAAGATAGTGCTTTTAACTGACGTTGAGAAAACAGGTACGTATCCAGTGAGCTGCCTTTTGTTCAGAGGAGCCAATGTGGTCGAATCCAACCTTTTGTGACCTTCATCTAACGGGTGCATTGCAGTGGGTGCTTACCTCCACCAGGTGGCATTAGATGCATGAAGAAGGCAGAAAGGCCCTGAGGTGAATAACGAATGGCCCTGCTTTGATCCGAAGACAAAGATTGTTCTGAATAAATGTAAAAGATACTTGTACACAACTGACCCATATACTCCAAGTACCTGTACTTTTGAGATTTTGAAAAGCTTGATAAAATGCTGAAAAGAAATTCCCAGTGCTCATTTAGGGAGTCACTGGTGGAGAAGTGCAAGATGCCAACCAGGCAGAGACAGGTGGGATAAGGATGAGAGTTAGAGACACGCTTTGTTTGTTATGTTCACATTATGTTAGAAGACCACACGTTGCATGTGATTGGATCTTGTGGCGCGGCGAGAGGACCTGCTCCTCCTCGACGCCAGTTTAGGGCCAAAAGAAATCTTTTCTTTTATATCCAACAAGAAATACAAAACGTAATGTTCCTCCTGATGTTAGTCAGTTGCGGGCCGACAGAAATGCTCCTGCCTTTGCAAACGCAGCGCTTGTACTGTGACCTGTGATCTGACAAATAAATCTACCACATCGAGAGAAGTTGTTTGGCTGAATCCTTCCAGATGTCCCCAACCGGGCCTCCAATTTTTGATCACGTTCGTTCGCTTCCCGCGTTCTTTCACGCTGTCATATAAGAAAAGTTTAATTTTGATCCGGGCGTATGTCATTTAACTAGTTTAACTTAAGTTTAAGTTTGTGTTTCTAGGTGTCTCACGTTTGTCTGTCCTTTTCAGACTGCATTGCATAATAGACCTTTTTTGTTAGAGTACATTCTTATGCAAAATATAATGCCAATAAGGTATGTAGAGCGATTGTGGGACAAAGGACAGCTTGTTGTGAATGAGATGGCAAAGTTTTGCTGGTTTCACATAACTGTAAACTAATACTACTGCATCACGCTGTAGAAAATACCTCCGCTCACCCAGAGAGCACGTCTGTATGTTTGTTTTTACATTTAAAATGATTGCAGTGATTTTAATTGTTCCCCCACTGCACTGGCTGGCTTTTGAGCCCCTCCTCTTCCTCTGCTCAGGTAAGAGAACACTGTGAAACCCGATCATTCACCTGGGAGCGAGAGGGAGGCCCGGGGGGGGGGGGGTGGGGGGTGGATGGGGAAAAAAGGGGCGGGTGGATGCCACCTGTGTGCTCTTATGAGAAGCAGCTAACAGAAATGAAAATAAACATGTTTGTGTACATCTCAGCAGAGCTTTCGTGACGGCTCGGCGGCCTCACCTGTGCTCCACACAGTTCCCTGACCGCGCAGGTGAGTTGTGTGCGTTATTTCTACACCGCTGCCTCTGAGTGACCTCGACGACAAAGCCACTGAAAACGGTTATGCTAGCAGGATTCATCACTATCAAAAGAGACTATTTTGTTGTGTTCTGATTACTCTGCAGCCACTCTGATTTCTGTCTCTGTTGTCAATCCTCTCAGGTTTGATTCAGACGGTCCGATCTGAGCCGCCGTCAGAGATTCAGCCAGAAGAGTTGGTTCATTTCTGAGCGGTTGCTCTCGCGGGGGGAAAAACACAAGCGTAGAGTTGTCGTCATTTCACCTGAGTAACATGTTCCTTTTGCGATCAAAAGGCTAATGGGTACAGTTTGTAGAGCTTTAAACTGTGGCGTGGTGTCCCATTCAATGTGACTCGCTGATCCCTGCTCTTGTTTCCACGCAGCAGAGTAATGAGTAACAAGTTTTTTTCATAGAAAGGGTCGCTCGGTTCTCTCCTTCGTGTAGCGAAACCCTCGCCCGCAAAGGTCTCCGCCGCATCATGGCCAAGGAGAGCCTGGAATCTGGTACGTCTCTTTTCTAAACTCCATTCTCCTCCTCCTCCAGTTGCTCGCGGCCTCTTTCTCTCCCCGTGTTCACTGCCACTGCTTTCATTTGAAATGAAACGTACTTCACAACATACAGATCCGTTTACACAAACGGCCCGGTGTCATGTACAGGGGGCGGCAGACGGTAAGGGATCTTTCATGTAAATTGAAATTATTCTCCCATTGGGGCATCGCGTTTCTTCGGCAGATGCTGTCGCAGTGGTCCCTGCCTTCTCCGGGCAACGCAAGACTCCCCTTGAGATCGGCACGAGCCCGCCGCGCATTAACACACACTCACTGAAGCGCGCGTACATGATAAATGATACATGGAAATTATTGTTTGTAAAATGGTCGCCGGGTCTAATAGTCGACCTATCGTGTGTCCGACAGGCCTCACATGGGAGGTGAGGGCAAACAGCCCTCGTTACCACAAACCCAGGCAGAAGAAGTCCTTCCTGTGCTTTCGCTGGGGGAGATACGCGGTGAGTCCCCTCCCCCCCTCACCCCTGCAGGCAGTAACCCAACACCCGTTGGCAGGCCGATGCACCGTGGAACAGGTTTAATGTGCCGGCGCTGTGTGTTTCTCTGTGCCGCTGTTCCCGTCCGTTGCCAGGACAACGTGATCCGCAGCCACAAGTTCTCCCCCCTGACCTTCCTGCCCCTGACGCTGTATGAGCAGTTCCAGCGAGTGGCCAACCTCTACTTCCTCCTCATGGTGGTGTTGCAGGTCAGGTCAAGTCGCTGCCGCCGTCGCACGTGCTTCGATTTTTTTGGAAAGTGGGACTCGAGGCGCTTTCGTGGGTTCAGCTTTAGTGTTAAATGTTTGATGTTTATGATGTTTTCAGGTTTGTGTTTATTTTGAGGACAGTCTGAATGATGCTGATGTGTTGTTCATACTGGGAAATAGGCCCGTCATCATGGTCATTACTTTGTTTTCTCTGACTTGTCGTGCATATTCACCCGCACTTTCCTAAAAATATTATGAAAAAAGACATGTGATTCGATACGGAGAAATTTAAACGCAGAGCTCCAAAAAATATAATCCAAGATGGTTATTTTCATCTTTTTTGGGATAGATGGACCAATAGTGTTTTCTTTAACCTACAAAGAAGAGTGGACTGAAAACAAAAACGTTTCGGCAATTTTTTCTTCTTCTCGAAGACGAGACAAAAAATAAGAAAAGAAAAATGTGAAATAAAATTGTCTATCTTGCATTTCTTTTCTTAAGAGGCATATCATTTCTTATTTTTTTTGTAATCTAATTTGGGAGATGGAGGGAAAGTTGCCTATGCAATAACTGTGTGTGTGTGTGTGTGTGTGTGTGTGTGTGTGTGTGTGTGTGTGTGTGTGTGTGTGTGTGGTTTCCAGTCTGTCCCTGTCATCTCAGCCATTCCCTGGTACATCACCATCATCCCGCTGGCCATCATCCTCTCTGTGAGGGGAATGAAAGACCTCGCCATCGACACGGTGAGACCGCCAGTCACTCCGTAGAGCCTCCCTCCCCTCCCTCCCCTCCCTCCCCTCCCTCCCCTCCTCCCTCCCCCTCCCTTCCCTCATTCACCCTGGTGGAGTCCGGGAGGGAAAACAACACACAAATGCATGATCTAAGACGCAAATATACGACCGGCCTCGCGGTGGCATTTATTCCCTCTTCTCCCTCCTTCATTGTCCGCATTGACTCCTTGTCCTCTCCTCATTGACAAAACCAGTCATCCCAGTAGCATTCATTTTCTCTCCTATCATTAAAGCTTTTCCTTTTAAATGCAGGCGTGATGTTTTGCATGGAGAATTCTCTGGTTAAGTGCATCACTGAGTTACGGTCGTTAACAGCTCTGGGTGAAACGCTTGCTTGACCCCTCTCTATTGACTAATCATTTAGCCGGGGGTGTAAATCTCCCAGCTGGTGTCACCGTAGGGGCCCCGTAATGGCGGTTGTCCTTTCTCCCGTTCAACCTTTCACGGCCACCCTTCACTCCCTCTCGCACGCTTTCTGTCCATCGCTCTTTCCCTCCATCCCTCACGCTACTCGGCCCCTCATCTCTGGCTCGTCGTTCCTTCTCCTTTCTGTCTCTCACTCTCTCCCCGTCTGCGGTCCAGGCAAGGAGACGCAGTGACGCCGCCATTAACTCCCGACCCTGTGACGTACTGGTGTCCCAGAGGTGAGGACAAAGACTGTTCGTTATTCTCTCAGGAACTTCCAGTTCGAAACGGCCCCGTAATGAAGCGCTAATGAAGTGTGAAGGAGTGAATCCCTCGATGGTCCTTGTGTGCATCAGAGCGGGGCAAAAACATTTTCCACACCTATTGGAAGACACGGACTTTGACCGTCGTCTTGATGACATGTTCTGCTGTCTTCAGAGATACGTCAGTCTCAGTCTGTTTTCTGTAACCTTTACCCTCCAGACGATGCGCTTCACCTTGTGAACTTTGGAGATAATGTATTTACTCAAGTACCCTTGAGTGTACTACCTGCAGGGCGTTTTTAGCACATATCATTGTAGTTAAAGGCTCTGATATGTTTTGCTGTCTTCATAGTCTTTTATTATAGATATTATAGAAATAATAGGCCTCGTAAGGAAAGAAATACAATTTCATTTCAGTTTGCAGTGAGTGTGTAACTTTTGATAAGCATTGTGTTTTACGTCTGTAATAATGAGTCAATTCCACTCAAGGCGAAAACTTAATTGTTATCTACAATGAAAGAAAATCCAATATAGTGCACCCGTAAAGCGTTCTCTTATAGACCAAATGAATAATTGTTGTGGTTGTTTAACGGGTAGGCCTGCTCTGCTCTAGCTTTTGCGTAGAAAACATGAATCATTTACACATAGTTGTTACAGTTGGTGTGTCGGGTTGGTTTGTGTATTTAAAGTTCAATCATTTTTCATATTTTTCACACCTCATCCGCCCACTGTCTCAGTTTCAACAAAGGAAAGTGGAAGGATCTGCATGTAGGAGACGTGCTGCGGATCCACAAGGACCAAGTCATCCCTGTGAGATTTTCAATTACCAACACATAGAAATTAACAGCAACATAGACAACAAAGTGTCTGAGTAATAACTGTCGCTAAAGTAGTGGTAGCCAAATGACTTGTTCCTGGGTGACATGGAGCGTTACTCCCTCTTTCCTCTCAGGCTGACCTTCTCCTCCTGTGTAGTTCAGAACCTCACAGTCTGTGTTACGTGGAGACAGCAGATATCGACGGGTAGGAAACTAATCTGTTCTCTCAACATACCTCAAATAATACTAAACTGTAGTAGAAGTATGTTAAACAAGCAAAAACCATTAAGTTCTACAATATGAAAAACTCTTAGTACGGTGTAAAAAGAATAGAACAACTATAAAGTTTTGAGTTTTGATCTCAACATTGATATTGATTTTGATGCCCGAGATCTTCAGCCTCCTGTTCTGTTGTCATGGGGACAAAAAAACCTGGTCGCTTTTAAAGGTCTAATATTGTCACATCAGAGGCTTCGTGGTGGCTCAGAGAAGTCAAAAAGGTCCACGATGCTGAACAGTGTAGGATCAGTAAAAGATTTGCACAATTTCATATTTCTTTATTAGCATTGAGGACTAGTTTAAGAGGTTATTTGCTACTTGTGGTTTATTGCAAAGTAAACAACTTATAATGAGTCAATAGGATTAAATGTATTTCTTTCATACTCCCAAACAGCAGACGTGTGAAGCAATTTGGTCCAAGTGACTTTTTCTTTGGGACGTTGTGTTTCCCACACACATAGACAATAAAAATTGAAAATAAAAAACTGACTTTTTCTTGCGACAGAGAAACTAACCTCAAATACCGGCAGGCACTTAGTGCTACGCACAGCGAGCTGACCTCTCGGCCCTCACAGGAGACGCTTGCTGCCTTTGATGGTGAATGAATCCTTTTCCTGCTAATATAGATGTTATTTTTAAAACAGAGCAAAAAGCAAATGAACCATTTCTAAAGAAGTACATCACTTGGCCCAATGTGACAATGCGACCGCTCACTTTTCAGGTGTCGTGCTCTGTGAGGAGCCCAACAATCGCCTCTACGTCTTCAGGGGCCAGCTGCACTGGCGAGGAAAGTGTCTCCTGCTGGAAAATGAGCACATCCTCCTGAGGGGAACAGTGCTACGCAACACCGAGTTTGCCTACGGCTTGGCCATATACACCGGTACACGTATGCATAGAAATCCCGCGCGGAAACGCCCTCCTCCACGCCGGGGTAAATCCTTAAGGGGCGCATAAATGAAGCAGCCTTTGTTCAGGGAATGGCTGCTAGCCGCCGTCACGGTGCCCCCTTGAGTCTTTATAGGACACCGAGGGAGATAGGGAGCTCTTTTATATGGAAACACAATCAAGGTGTATGATAACAGAGATAAAAATCTTTTTGTGCCCGGGGCACCGATGCTCATTTCACCTTCTGCCCGTGGCCTCCACTCGTTTCAATGACACATTTTATTATGTGGAATACATTATACTGCTAATTATGGACAGTACTTAACTCTTGCAGCTGTGTCTTAAATGTGGGTCTGTTAACGTGTGGCAGATTACAGGCTCCTCCTGTCTTTTTAAGTGATCATTGATCGGAGATTACTGGACCGGGCGACGGTGTCACGGATCTCACTGCTGTGACCCTTTTCCAGTTCTGGCAAAGTAGATCAATAGATCAAATTCTTCCAGAGATGGGTTTTATACCATTCATCAGAGGCCCCCTCTACACACGCTTCGACGCGGCCTGCTTTAGATTATGCGTGATCAAGGTTGATGTTGTTGTAGCGAGATGAAGTCAGTGTCAGTTTTTGCCCTTGAAAGGTTTGAAGATATGGAACCACTGTTCTCAGCCCCCCAAATCACAACCCACCAATGCCAAGGCTTGGTCAGTCGAACACAAGACTTTCTTTATCAACGTTGAGTTATTTTACCATTGTTTTGTTGCATAATTTACCTGCGCCGCAGCTGGCACCACCATCTTTTCATATCGTAAGCAACCCCCCCAAAAAAGTAAAAGTACTCTATTAGTTAGTGTATTTTGAAAAGAGACGGTTTGCATGTAATGAGTGGAAACTGTTCATTTCTTGAGGACATGGAAGTCTATACATAATAATCAGGACGTTGTAGTTGGACGTGTTGGGCCACTGGCTTGTCTCAGTATGTCTATGAAAGATTGAGACATCACTAGAAATCACAATGTGATACTTTGTTAATCGCCGCAAGGGAAATTCTCTCTGACCTCTCAGCGGCCGGGTCAAACCTCCCCACCACCCCTCAGGGTCTGGTTGGGATGCAGCATCCCGCCCAAGAGCTGGTCAGCAGATGCTGACTGACACGAGGGCTTTAACCTTCCCCGACTGGACCCACTCGCCGGGGGTAGACCGCCGGAGCGATGGCGTCTAATATTTGTCTGCCTTTGTACCAGGCGCGGACACCAAGATCATGAGGAACTGCGGCAAGCTGAGAGTGAAGACGACGCAGACGGAGAGAGTTTTCAACCGAGTGGTGATGGGGGTGAGTGGGTGAAGGGCAAGTGGATGATAAGTCCAGGCGACTCGCGGAGGTGTTCTAATATCCGTGTGTGTGTGTGTGTGTGTGCGCGCGTTTGTGTGTCTGTAGATTGTTCTGTCTGTGCTGCTCACAGCTGTGCTCCTTGCCATCGGCGCTGGCGTGTTTTCGAGCTGGGTCATGAGCCACACGGGGGCTCTAACCCCTCTGGTGGTCGACGGCAATCCCGTCTACGCCGGGTTCCTCATGTTCTGGAGCTACATCATCCTGCTCAGCCCGGCCATGCCCATTGCTCTCTACATCTCGTTAGTTCCACCCTCAAGACCACTCATTTGAGGGAAGAGAGGATGTCTGAAATACACCTGTGTATGTGTGTTCACAGTCTGACTGTGTGTGTGTGCGCGTGTCCACAGGTTTGAGGTGATCCACTCGGTCCACAGCCTGTTTATCAACTGGGACCTGGAGATGTACTGGCAGCCGGCGGACAGACCGGCCCAAGCCAGGAATACCTCACTGAATGAGGAGCTCGGCCAAGTGGGATACCTGCTGAGTGACAAAACTGGGACACTGACACAGAACCGTCTGCTCTTCAGACAATGCTGCATAGCTGGGGAGATCTACGGTAAAACATTGACTGGGCCCAAACCGTCTTATATTCTATACAATCTGTCTATATTTTGCTACACACCTAATTGTATTTTAATTCCTGATAGAGGAAAACAACTTCCAAATGACAGCAATTATGCAAAGTAAAAATCTGATGTCAAGCAGGACGGATAGCCCAAAATCTAAATGTATCTTCTACTTTTAACAGGATGCACATACAATTAAGAATTGAAGATGCTCTCAACAACAAGTGTATTCCCTACCGATGGCATTCAACACACTCACCCGTAGGGGATGACTAGCTCGTACAAACCTCGTAAAATCTTTTAGTAATACCTTTTAATAGAGATTCAGGGTTTTATTTTGTTACTTTTCTTTCTATGACATTTTTTGACATAAAAACAATTTTAGTGTCATGGTTTGGGTTCTTTTCCTGTTTTATTTTGTAGTTTCTTGCCTCTTGTCTCCCTGGGTAACTTCACTTCCTGTCTTGTCCTGTCATCCCCTGTGATTGTCTGCCATGTCTGATTGTTTCCACCTGTGTCCAATCACCTGCACCTCCCTAGTGTATTTAAGCCATGTGTGTCTGTTGTCACTTGTCGCGTCATTGTTAATCGTCGGATGTCCACGTCAGAGTGTTTCTGGTCCATGTCTGCGTTTTTGCCCCTTGGCCTTTTTTGCTTTTGGACTATTAAAGTCCTCTTTTGTTTCTCAAAGTTTGAGTTTGAATTTGAGTCCTGCCTTCCCCGCATCCTGACATTTAAAACTTTTTTTTTTTAACTCTTTTTTTTTTTTTTTTTTCTTTCTTTAAAACAGTTTTTGTCCAAACATCTTTACTTTTGACCTCATATTTGTTTACTATTTTTTGTTGAAACATTTAGACCCATCATATTTTGACTTTGATGTCTAAATAATATTTTTCTTAATATTTACTATTTTTTACATTACACTTTTCAACAAAACATCTTTCGACGTAATACTTTTCGAACTAACATATTTTGTCATACATACATTTTATGATTTCATATATTTTTGACTTCTTTTTTTGTTGTTTTGACCTAATTGTTTTGACTATTTCTTCAAAACATTATTCAACCTTGTTTCACCTTATTTTCCATGGAAATATTTTGACATAACATATTTTGACTTTTTTCAAAACAATTTGACTTAATATTTTTTTTACTTCTTTCTCCAAAACATTTTTTTACCTTATATATTGTTTTACCCACATACTAGATATATTTTGACTTAAAAAACATTTCCACCCAATACCTTTTTACTTTTTTTTTTTTTCAGACATTTAAAAAAAAAATCCTTTTAGTTACCTGTTATATTTTGACGCTTACCTACCCCCTTTTGTATTACCTAGAATAGTGATTAACGTTATTATTCAAATTATGAAGTTTGATAATGGCCACGGAGCCTCGGAGGGGCAAAGGTCCCTCTGGGGAGGCAGCTTCTTCAAGAGACAACGGGAGACACGAGTCCATCTATTAAATATTTAACACCGTCTCTGCCCCCTGAAGACAAACTGTAATTGATACCTTGTCAAAATCATCTCAAACGTATGTCTGAGCCACTTCCTGGTTCCGCCTCAATGTTTTTTCTCTTTTTGGGTGTTTTTTTTTGGCACATTTTCTTCATCTCAAATACTCTGCAAGTCCTAAAATATAATCATTTTTCAAATTTCACAGGTGATGCATCGGTCAGGGCCGAAGAAGTCGAGGTATAACGACTCTTTAATCTGTATCTAATTAGTTCTTACTTTGTCTCCTACTTGCATGTTTCAATCTAATTGAAAAGCATTTCCCAACCTTTATTAGGAATACATTTTTTCTCTTATGTGGCTGGTTTTATGTCATGTTCAAAATAGATTCTCAATTCAAAACAAATCCTGATTCAAAGTCTATTCTCAGTGGAAAATGGTAAATGCTGTGACATTGTCACTGAATCCCCAAATGTTAGAAGATGGAGACTCTAAATTCTGACCGCTGATAAAACATGAAATAGTATAAAACTCTGCTTTTGCACGGTCGTTAATGCTTGCAAGAAATCCATTAAGGAGAAAATGTGTCTGAAAACGCATTGAATCGATCCAAAATTGTAGAATATAGAAATCTAGATTTTATTCCTCCCTAGTCGCAGCTTTGTAATAAAAAATAAGTGCACTGTAACATTTGGTGGATCTTTTTTCCCCTCAAGCCCATGGACTTGAGCTGGAACCCGTTCTCCCGCGGTGGGCTCTTCATGACGGCTCCCGGCCTGTTGGACAAGCTCAGAGGACGCCGGTGTCCCTTCAGCACGGAGTTCCTCAGAGCGCTGTCTCTATGTCACACCGTCATGGCCGAGTGGAAAGAAGGTTGCGTTTGTTGATTCAGATGGAAGCACTGTCGTAACGGAACCAATGTTACCAGCCAGCTCCGACCCGATTTGCAACACGACGACTCCCGGTAGACGACTCGTTCACATCCACTCTGCGTGTCGGCTTCATTCCTCCAGAGACTCCGGTCTACCAGGCCGCGTCCCCAGACGAGGAAGCGCTCGTTGGGGCAGCCAGGGAGCTGGGCTGGGTCTTCCTCTCCAGAACAAGAGACTGCGTCGCTGTCTCCGAGCTGGGTGTCACTCGCCAGTATCAGCTGTTGGCACTGCTGGACTTCACCAGCAAGAGGAGACGCATGTCCGTACTGGGTGAGAGTGGCCTTCTGGATACACGGCAACAGCACGATCTCTCCGTGTCTTTTACGATTGTGCTTAATGCTAAGTAGCTCCATGTCTAGTCAACTTCTTTTCTGAAAATCCATCGGGGTTTTTTTCAGTGCGGGAGCCGGAGGGCGGGTTAAAGCTGTACAGCAAAGGGGCAGACATCGTGATCCTGGAGAGACTGCAGAAGGACTTGCCGTACCAGGAAGCCATTGAAAGAGCCCTGGAGGTGAGTTTCCTCTGAGACGCTAATGTCTGCTGTTATCGAGCCTACTTTTTATGACACTCTCACTATCTTTAAGTATTTCAGCTCCGAAGAGATGGGCTTTTAAAAAAAAAATCGCCCCTATGAGGAGACATTGGTAATGTCCGTGATCAAACCCAACGCTTGCACAAACTGTTTTTTACGTTTTTTTAGAAGAAAAGGTTTCTTTGCATATACTAACCCACATTGTAGTAATACAAAACCAGTGGAAAATCAATTATTTTGCATTGAGCTTTATCTCATGTTTCTGGGTTCATCTCACGTTTCCTTTGTCAAGCCTACTTGAAGGATCACTCGGTAAGTAATGTGCACCCTATAATAATGTGTTAACTTATCTTCCGTCAGTCGTTTGCCCAGGCCTGTCTGAGGACTTTGTGTGTTGCGGTTCGATCCGTTTCCGAGGCGTCGTGGGAGCAGTGGAGTAAAACTCTGGACCAGTCTGCTGCCATGGCGACCGTTGACCGCGAGGCACTCCTGGAAAAGCTGTACGATCAGATGGAGAGAGAGCTGCAGGTGGGCTCGCCCTAAAGGGGATTTTTTTACAGGTTTACTTGAGGCTCATCATTGACACAAATAAGTATTTTAAATCAAGCTTATTGGCCCCCCGCTACTTTCCCCCCATATTATATTTGACTTGGAGCAGTAACCCATTTTAAACTTTTTCTTTCGTTGTAGCTCATAGGGGTGACGGCGATAGAGGATCGGCTTCAGGAGGGCGTTCCTGAGACTATTGCGCTCCTTAAACAGGCCGGCCTTAAAGTATGGGTACTGACTGGGGACAAAAAAGGTATTGTGACAAACTGCCGCAGCAGATGAGTTTTGAATGCTGTGATGCTGCAACATGCCTCACTGTGGTTTCTGTCTTCCGCTGCTCCCTCCCTCTTCATCCTCGCAGAGACTGCTGTTAATATCGGGTATTCGTGCAAGCTACTGGATCCTGAGACCAGATTAGTGGAATGGCAAGAGCTGAGGTCAGCAATGCCAAAACAAAAACACACACTCACGCACATGTTTGCACCAGCTCATTGATCTTTGTTTGTTTCCCCCCCCCCCTCCTCTCCTGCAGACAGATCCTCCAGTCCCCGGACCCGGAGCTGAGTTTCTTAAAGGCCAGACAGACGGAGCTGTGGGCTGTAGACAAGCAGGCGGCCGGAGCAAAGACGGCCCTGGTGCTCACCGGACCCGAGCTGGTAAACACGGGACGCACAGGCGCTGGGTTACTCGAGCAGTTCTCAAATGACCAGCTAGCCGTCTGTGAGATGAAACACTGCGTTTTAAGGTTTCCCTGCTAGTGGATTGAGGGCAGAATGATTTTTCCTCCCGTCATTACTTCAATGTTTCTCGTCCAGCTGGAAGTAAAGAATCCTATGTCGTCACTTATGAAAAGACCAAAAATGGACACTATATGTATATAGGGAGAGAATCTGAGCTGTTTTTATGGTTTTGTGCTCCAGGCAGAGTTTGACCAGAGGCCAGAATGGGGGGCCACATTCATGAGCCTGGCGGAGCGCTGTCAGTCGGTGCTCTGCTGCCGTGTCACACCCGGACAGAAGGCTGACGTCATCACGTTGGTCAAAAAACACACCAGCGCTGTCACCATGTCCGTGGGGGACGGTGCCAATGACGTAAATATGATCAAAAGTAAGTCGGATCACGATGCAACATACAACTGAACCTTACTAATCAGTGCACTAATTAAAGTTGGGTGCATTCTATGTGTCTGTGCTTACTGTTCTCACCAGCGGCTCACGTCGGGGTGGGAATAGCAGGAGTGGAGGGAAGTCAAGCAGTGCAGAACGCCGACTTTGCGTTGTCCCAGTTCAGGTTTCTGCAGAGGCTGCTACTGGTCCACGGACGCTGGTCCTACCGGCGCATCTCTCTCTTCCTGCTCTACTTCCTGTTTAAGACCTGCGGCTTTGCTCTCGTGCACGTATGGTTCGGTTTCTTCAATGGCTTCAGCGCTCAGGTCAGACGTGCGTCGATGAGAGTTAAAGGGTTGTTTTTGAGCTGGTTTGCATGAGGTGCTCACCCATATTCAGGGCGGTCTAAACACTCGGGGAGAAACGAGAGCAAAGCCCGCAGCGAAACTTATTTCATCCACCTTGAAAAAAGCTCTTCCCGCCTCACATTTCTGACGGGGAGCTGAATTCACAATCAATGTCCTCTTCGAAGCCACAGGACTCCGTTGACAAAAGCAGCAATTTTACCTCCCAGGAACCGCCGGTCCACCGCCGCCTCGGTCGGTCAGTTTGTTTTGTGTCTTTGTGTGACTTTGTTGAATCCAAAACCAACCCTTTTAACACACCAAAGTCACACAAACAAACTAACCGATCGAGGCAGCGGTGGACCAGCAGCTTGGGCGTCCCACGATGATAAATGGCTGTATTTTTGTGAAAGGACTATTGAGGCTTCGGACAGAGCACAGGTGGCGCTTTAGATTCCAGTCGGAAAAAAAACCCATTCTGACGTTCTAAGGGAAGGCGGTGAGTTTTCTCCTACACACAGGATCACATCGCGTCCTTTGGAGGTGACGCACTGACTATGAATAAGTACCTCATGCAAACGCATGTTATTATGGACTGAAGTTAAACGTGGAGAAGACAACCTGCATTCATCCCATCATCTGTTCCTCTCCTGCAGTCGCTGTATGAGACGTGGTTCATCGCTCTCTACACTGTCTTCTACACGGCCTTCCCCGTTATGTGCCTGGCCTTCTTTGAACAGGTTTCTCCGAGCTCAATGATCCCGTTTTGTGATTTCACTATTGATGTTATTTTAAATGTTCATGTTCTGAGTGGTAACGCTTCGCCCGGCGCGTTGGCGTTTTTAGGACGCGAGCGCAGAGAGCAGCCTGAAGTGGCCGGAGCTGTACAAGACTGGGCAGAGACAGGAGCTCTCCAGCCCCCTCGTGATGTCCTCGTCCCTCCTGTATGCGGTCTACACGTCGCTCGTCCTCTTCTTCATCCCGTTTGGAGTTTACTACGACACGGACTACGACTACCAGACAATGGCGCTCACTGTGGCCTTGGCAGCCACGCTCACCGCCACCATCGAGGTCAGCGTCTCACTTGTGAATTCAAGTTCCTGTGGTTCATTTTAATCCATGACGAGGCAAAGCGGATACGAATAAAATATATGAATGAAAGGGGATTGTTCGATATTATTATATTCATTTTAGTACAAGATAAGTTCATTTTCAAACACTTATTCGCATCACTTAAACTGTCTCCCTTGTTGTGAAAAGAATCATTTCCCAAAATATGGAATATCCAATAGGGGGAAATGCAGTTCACCCTATTGTTATATTTCCATATGAAAATATAACAATAGGCAATATACAATATATATTGTATACTGTATATTGTATATATATTAGGCATTTTGATTCTCACCATGGTGGCCGCTGAGTCATTGGCTCTCAGCTAGCAGCGCTAACAGCGTATAACAACGGCATAAGTGCCGATAGACCGAATAGCGTTTACCACAGGGGGAACCGGAGGGTTTGCAAGGTGCAACACTTGCAACTATCATGACGTGTTGTCAGCTGGGAACGCCGGTGCGTTGAGGGAGTCACTGGAGCGGCGTCACGTGCACTAAGAGCATGCGTGGCGACTTAGTCAACAGCACGAGGGAGCTTGGATAACAACACTCTCAAAAAGATGCTGACCTCATTCTCTGCTCAGGTAGACTTTACTCCACCGAGTCTTCACATAGCAAATAGTTGTCTGCTGCTGTATTAACGCTCTGAATATTACATTTAGCGTCTTACAAACCCATTGATTGGTTGAAATAAATGACGAGGAATTGCTTAGTTATGGAACTTTCAGGGGAAATGTGTGTGTATTTAAGAGCCTGGACAGTAAACACAGGAGCGGGACGTTGACACTTACGTAACTAATCAGGAGGCCAGTTGGGGAGGAATTGTGAACGGAGCGATAGGAGGACGACCGCTTATCCGGATGTGCCATTTTTCTTTGTTTTTGTCAGATTGTGCTGCTGACCAGATACTGGACAAAGTTCAACGCTCTGGCTGTGTTGGTCTCTGTGGTGCTGTTCTTCCTCTGTACCAGGATTACCCACGGCTCCTTCCTGTTCCGGAAAGCACCCCAAGACTATTACTTCATCGGTACATTTCCGCTCACCTCAGCGCACGTTGGTCGTTGCCGTCCGTGGCTGCTCTTAACGCCCGTCACTGCGGGAACTGCTGGATTACATTCACTGAACAAGAAAACTGAAATACACACAGCCCAAAAGAACTCAAAAAGACAGATGTCCATTTTAACGACTTTATAAGCTGCTGATCTGTCATCCTCGTCCCTGTGGCCGGGTTTGATTGCTCCGTGTGTGTGCTTTTCATCAGGTGTGTCTGATAAGGCCTTCATGGATCCCCTCGTGTGGCTCGCAGCTCTGCTCACTACTTGGACGGCCGTCTTGCCCTCGTTCACCGCTCTGGCCCTCCGAGTCGTCCTCAGCATGCACGACAAACACAGGGTGAGTAGTCTGCGAGACGGCGAGTCGCTACAGGGGAAAAAAGAGGTTTGCTCCGTTCGTAGATTTTAAGATTTTGGAATATGCTGCATCTATATCATGTCTTATTTCAGACCAGTGCAAAGACGTCATTTTATTATTATTACTACCAAAGGTTGGCATTGGATAATGCCTTGTTTGCTGTTGTTATAGAGAAAATAAATGCCTAAATATACAGTGATATTTATTCCGCACTGAACATTTTCCTCTAATATCTTACTAGCATGTAACAAGAATTTTGTCTACAAGTAGCACCACAACATGATACTGAATCTGTTGTCATTTTGGAGTTGTGAGAGTTGTTTCCCATTCGACAAGTTATTGTTGAGCTGTAATGAGCGGTGATTGACGTCACGCTCACCTGGCTGTGATGCAGGTCCACAGCGCGTCCCGGCAGCCGGTGGAGCTGAGGGCCCAGTGGAGGAGGGGGGCGCCTCTACGCCGCTCCTCTCACGCCCTCTCTCGGGGGGGCGGGACCGGCGTCCGCAGCACCGTGCCGACGGTGGAGGAGATGGTGGCCCCGCCCCCCGGGTCACGAGTAAATTCACGTGTACAACAATAATCAAAATGAACAAATGCATTGTAATAAATGAATAGAAAACAATTTCGATATCTTCTATTTTTGCTGAAATTAAATTGAAAAAATGATTCTTCATGTGTTTATACTTAAAAAACGGTTTTGGGGGATAATTCTGGGTAGAGCCTAAATGTATCTTTTGTATTGCTACTTTTTACAATAAAGTATGTGATGTAATAAAAAAAATAGTTTGTACTCTCATTTATTGTCTTGACATAGACCGTTTCCCTCTACATGAACGTCTCTGATCTTTGCTGTTTGAGACTGTTTCCTTCTGAAGATCAAACCAAACACAATAAACCGCACAGCACATCTTTGTTTTACAATTGTTTTTATTTGTTAATTTATTTCAAAACACGCAATTTTACCCATATTATCCTTTTAAGTTTTTATTTTTCTGTAACAGTTATTACTCAGATTTTTTTCCTTCACAAAAGTCTCAACAAGAGTGAAACTAAAAGTCCTCCACAGGCTCTCCGGCTTCTGCAGTGGGAAGAGGGAAAAGAGGCTTTCTGCCCAGACGTGGTGAGTGGGTCTATCCATGTGTCTGTGTGGTTGGAGGTGTGTGTGTTTATAGTGTGTGGGGGGGGGGGGGGACTACACCAGGGTGTGTATTTGTACGTGTGTTCATGTATGTGTGTTTTAAGTGCAAGCGGTGGAATGTCCACATGTCCGGTAAATCACAGGACCCGGAGAGCTCAGCCGGGTCTCCTGGGTTCCGGGAGCCGGATTGTCACGCCTCTGATTTCATCTTTGGTTTCAGCAAAACTCTCTCAAAAGGCCGACCCGCCCCCTCCGGCACGAGCCTGTGTCTGTTTGTGTGTCTGTCGGCCCGAGTGCAATATAAGCCACTGTCTCCAGACGACTTTGTAAACTTGGGTGAGTACAATGTAAGCGTCTTTGCATTGATTGTGGCCCTTCCTTGGCGCTGGGGACAAAGACAGTCGAACATTGTAGAACAATGGAGCCATGAGTGTGTGGGGGGGGGGGGGGGAGAGATGGGGGGTGGATCAGCTTGCAAACATCAACGTGGGCTCCATGTTGATGTCAATGGCAGTTTGGGGCATTTGTGTAGCGCTGTGTGACGTCAGTGGGAGGGGGGGTGGTGGTGGTGGTGCTCTCCGCTCCCTTGCAACACTCTGCCGTGCCCTGAGTGAATTATGGGTTTCTCCGGGAGGGGGGGGGGAAGGGGTCATGTGGGTGAAAGTGTGAGCAGCGGGAGTGACGTAATGTGTGGGGGGGGGGGGGGGGGGGGGGGGGCGGGTTATGGGGTAGAGGGTTGTACACTCTGACCCAGCAGCAACGATTAAGATTGGGGGGGTCAGGTGTTTGCATAGTTCTCTGTGCAAAAGCCACCAACCGGAGCCATTTTTTTATTCCTCGCGGCTGGTTACATCATCGTTAGATTAGCAGGAAGTCGTGGCGGCGGGAAGATGTGAAGAATGGTCTTTGCACCACAGCTCTTGTTCTCTTAACCTGCAGTGCACTACATTGTGGCAGTGTGGGAGGTGTGTGTGTGTGTGTGGGGGGGGGCAGGAGGGTAAGAGATGAAAGCGGATGAGTGAATTTGAAATGTTTGGATTCCAGTCGGGTAACCGAGCTCGATGCGACGGGTTAGATTGGTGTTTGGGGTGGGGGGGGGCAATGGGGCAGTCGTTTGGCAGTCGGGCCCTACAGCTCGTCGCAATTCAGAGAGCCTCTTTTCCCTTGATTTTGCTCTTCCGTCCTCCCCTTCCCACTGGCCTGCCCCTCTCTCTACCCTTTTTTCTTGTTTTGAAACTGATTGTCTTCTACCATCACAAAGACACTTGGTTCTGATTGATCAACAGGTAACAGAAGAGGGAGAGCACAGTGTGACTGGGGGGCGTCTACACCGGTCCCGTTGGCGTCATTGGACCCCCCCCCCCCCACACACGGTGAAATGACACGCACATACGCTGTTTGACAGGAAATGCTGGCGACATTTCGGGGCTGGATCGTCAGTTGCCAAATGGTACCGCGGTTGGTTGGTCGGTCAGTCAGTAAGAAATGGTTTCAAAGTTTTCGCATGACAAATATTGCAACCCATGGCAAAAGGAACATTAAAAAAAAAAAAAGGGGGAACACGGTTTCTTCCACGTAGGTACAAATGAACACACATACACAGATGGAAGAAAAGCATGTGAACAGACATACAGGTATATTCGAGGCCGCTCGGGCCTGTGTGTGTCCCTCTGATTAACTCCAAGTAAACAGCCCGTCTTTGGAAAAGCAAGACACACATTTCAGGACCCGAGTGAGGACCACAAGCTGAGGAATGAAGATTGAATGCTATTGATTAGGAGGAGAAGGAGTTTGACCTCCCCCAGCACACACTGCCCCCTACTGTCTGGATTTATATACATTACAAAAAAAAAAAAACAGGGAGAAGGAGAAGGGTTGCAACAACACATGCACACAACCAGTGACTCCAACAGTGACAGAAATTCTAAAAACAAGGACCCCGCCAACGCCTAAAACCCCGATCCACCCACCCTTTTTTTTGTTTGTTTTGATAACCAAAATATCCCCCCACCCCTTCTCCACCCACGCTTTCCATCCTCCTCTCCCCACAGAATCACAGGTCATTCCTGTTGGTTTCTATACAGTTATACAATATCCATGCACAAAAGAAAAAAGCGCACCTTCTTTTCAATAGGAGGTGCTGGTCTTTAATATTCTAAGAACATCAGGAGCACTTGAACACAACCAGGAACCTTCAAAAGTAACTGTGAAATTGTTTTTTTTTTCAGAGAAAAGACTAAATTAAAGGCAGAAGAAAGCTATTTATGAGTAAAAGGTTATTCGTCCTTTGGTTTAACATCACATTTTTGGTAAAGAATTCAGCCCAAATAGTATTTTTGTCATTTCATTTTTTTTTTTGTGTAATTTTTTCTTTAACTAAACATCAAAAGTGAGCATTTCTCGCCCCTCTCGCTCGATTCTAGCCGTCTCTTCTGTCTCTTTTCTCACGTAACCCTTCACAGAAACATTCACAATGTCTTTTCCTTTATGAAAACAGTAAGTACATGCCGTAGCAAAAACAAACAAGAGAACGTACGAGAAAAATGAGCAAACGAATAAAAGGAATTTAACAGTATAAAGCTTCAAGTCACAAGTTCCAAAACTAACTATCATAGTATCATAGTTTCATAATCATTGTTATCATTAGCAGTATTATTTTCAGTTTAAATTACATAAAGTTTACATGAAAGGTTTTTGAGGTATTTCAGAATTAATTGTCAACACACGCCTACCGGGTCTTAGCACTAGCCAGGGGGAGAGGTCGTCTGGACATATGGTGGTGGAGGGGGAGGAGGGGGAGGGGGGGGGCAGAATTTGTGTGTATAAACTGTCAGTGAGTTTTCTAGTGAAGCCTCTGTGCTTGTGCACGCAGGGCGGACGTAGAAAGACGTTAAGTTATTACGGTTTCCCCACTACAGCCCATGTGGTGCTTAGATCCCCGGCCTTTCAACACCCCCCCCCCCCCCCTCCCCCCTCTTTCTCTGTTACACAAAAATATCTCTGATGCGAGGAGGGGTAAAGTGGCCGAGGGCCCGAGCACACCGGGGGGGGGGGCAGAAATAAGAGGAGAGGAAAAAAAACGCAAAGGCTCTGAGCTACTAGAAGATCGACGATACAGTAACAAAGTCTCTGACAGATTAAGGAGTAACATATAATTTTGTTTCAAATAAATAGTGTATAGAAAATGTTTTATAGACTTTCTACATGATAAAGTGCTTGTATTCTAGTGTATCAAGATGGAAAGTCAATATGGGAGAAAATGCTGACACAGCCCCCACTCTGTGTCCCTCTCTGTGCCCCCCCCTCATCCCGCCTCTCCGCTCCCCCTTAGCCTCATTAGGTCGTGCGAAGTGAGTAGTTTCAAGGTGGGACTAGCCAGCCCCCGTTGTGTTGTTGTGTGTTGTGTTGGTGGTGTTGTGTTATGTGTGTGTGTGTGTTCCAGTGCATCCCACCGTGTGAAGGGAAAGGCACTCAACTCTGTCGCAGGCAGCCACCTCTCCTGTGTGGCACGATGCTGTCCGACTGCGCTGTTTGCGTGTGTCTGCGTGTGTGTCTGTGTGTGTGTGATGTGTATCAGTCCATCTGTAGCAGTTTGGGGCAAAGATTGGGGAAGGGGTTTGGTTTTTTTTTTGTTGAAATCTTTTTTTTTTGTTGGTTTTTGTTGGTTTGAGTCCCCCTAGGCAGTTTGGGACCGGTAGGCTGCAGTTTCTTTGGTATCAGTGGCGGTTTCACAAACCACTCAGCTTAGTGAGGTAGCCACATTGGTTCTCACTACAAACAAATGTCATTTTGTCAGCCTCATACCTAGAGCTGAATCTAGCTATTTACCTATGCTCACTGAACTGTATACCACAAATCGATTTTTCGCTCATCGTCCTTTTGGCGGCGTTAACTCACCGCTTACAGCGACGTGAAGTTAGTCAGTGTCCCTCCGTCGACTCCTCCGCGTTGAGCATCTCTTTATCTGATCCGCACCGCTAATCTGACTACATTGTTGGAAATGCTACAGTTGCATCTTGAGACCACACAGATAAACAATTGAGTCCAGAGCGTCGCCCCTCCCCCGCCCTATACAATTTAAAAACGCACTGAATGAGCCAAGGCGTTTGGAGGTCGTGTTTTGTCCCCCTCCGTTGCGCCCCGTTCTCCAGGGCTCGGCCTAAAAAAGGGGCCCGAGGGCTCCGCAGTTCTGACGCGAAATGCCAAAAGTGAGAGAGCGTCCGTCGTTCATTTGTCTCTTCAGCAGCTCCCTGTTTTTTCTGTTTCTCCTCCTTCTCACGGTAAATGTCTCCCCCGAGTCTTTATTCACATACAAGGCAAAAAAAAACAGAAAATCCTTCATTGGCCTCAGTCCTGGCATCCCCTTTTTTTTTTTTTTTTTTTTTTTCAAAAGTCCTTCCTTTTTTGTTTTTGATTTATCAACAAGGTGCCTTACTTATGCACAACAGAGCACAATAGTAACAAGAAATAGAAACTTTGTGTCTATGGTACTAATTAAATACCCGCATCAATATAGAGAGGAAGAGAGAAAGAGGGGGGGGGCAGAGGGGTTAAGAGGGGGAGAGAGGAGGTAGAGAACCAAAGATAGAATGAGAGATCTTCTGCTTCAAAATGTGTCCAGTTATGCGTTGGAGACATTTGTAACACATTGTGTGTGAGAGCGGTATCTTCGTCATTTGAGGTTTGTTTATTGTATGCCTTAAAATCTGATTCTTTTTTTCCATTTTTTTACTAAAAAAGTATATTTTAATTCAGATAAAAGCTGATTGTTGGTTGCTATGGCACACACCGCCCGTCATCAGAGGGGCGCACTGTAGCTGTGTGTGAACCCTAGTACCATATTCTCTGATTCGCATTAAGGCAGTAAGCATTGGCACTAATTATTGTAGCTTTTTGACAGCTGAGTGTGGTAGTTAGCTTTGGGTTAGCTACTGGTAACCCTTGTGTGGGAATAACCAGGAGATTTGGTTCCAATCGCATCTGTTAAAAGCGTCTGCTTTTTTTTGTTTTTGCAAACAGATGGGATGGAAGGATGATTTGACATAATATGAAGCCTCCCAAAATAACATGAATTAAACTTTGAATGTGTCCGTCCCACTAAGCCTGTCTGTGACTTTGCCCTCTGTTGTACTTCTCCATCCCGTCTGTGTGATTTCTGCTCTCTGTTCTGTGGATTCGCGACAATTCCGATCGGCTAAACAAATCCCTGCCCTTGCTAAATCCTTTTTTGGGGGTTTTCAGCATTCAGTTTAACCTCCCTCACCCCCTCCCTCCGGCTTCCCCGGTGCTGGTTGGGTGAGGAACGACAATAGGATAATGGTTCGCTATTGATCTGCCTTCAAAGAGCTGCGAGGCCCTGAATGTGTTGTGCCGTGACTTCTCCTCAGCATCTAGTGGCTCTTTCCTCCCTCTCCTCCCCTCTGAGCCCCCCCCCCCCCCCTCGCTCGGCTGGATGCAGGTCTCTATCATCGGCTGCAGGGGGCACTGTTGCTCTGCCGGCACAGGCAGGACTTGAGCTGTGCTGCTGCTGCTGCTGTTATGAGGGCTTTTGTGTCCCATCTCCTGTGGGGTCCGTGTGCTCCTCTTACGTCCTGCTTTTCATGTGCAGCTGTAATGTAGTTGGCCGGATGCCCGAACGTGTTGTTTGTCGCTTGACTCTCAGTTATTGATCAGAGGAAAAGCTCCCGGCAGAACAAAGAGCATGACCAGACATCTCGCCCGCCTCTCCTGTTGGTCCGAGGAGCACAGACTCCAGGCTCAGGCAGGAGAGCAACAATGACATGTCTCCCTACAGGCCTCCAACATCTGTGCAAAAAAATATATAGACCTGGGCCTGGAAGACCTGAGTAACTCCTGCCGAGCATCTTGAGTTTCACCTTCAGGAGGGGTCAAGGCCCCCCGCTCTCGCTGTCTGCATCGATTCATTTTTCAATTCATTAGTTTGCCGTATGATCGGGCTGAGCTGCTCTCTGAAATGGCCGGCCGTCAGGGAATACCTTCGGCCGAGGAATGAAGGAGACTACGGGAGAAGGTGGGGGGGAGGGGTTGGTAAAGGCGCAGAATAGGAAAGCCGGGTTGTTGTTTTTTTTTTTCGTAGGCTGCGTTTGTTCTCTTTGTGACGGCCCGGCGTGTGCGGGATGGGGCTTGGATAATAAGGCTATGTGCTGTTCTGTTTTCAGATTTATTGCCATTCTTTCGCCCCCCCCTTTGCTGCTTCCGCGCGCCGGCATGGAGGGGAGATGAGAGAGAGAGACTGGAGAGGCAGACACGGGGTGAGTTGAGTTGGGGGAAAGAGGAATCTGTGGCTACTTGGGGTTTGGTGAAGGAGGCCGGCCAATGTGTCTTGATGCTGTCCAAAAAAAAAAAAAAAACTCAAATCTTTGGTGTCGCTTTACTTTTGTCAGATGCCGTAAAAATGATTTCCTTCCCAAAAAAGACAGAATCAATGATTGTCCTTGTGTGAGTGATGCAGAGTGGACCTGACTTCACAATTCACCTTTTTAGGCTTGTTTCAGGTGAGAGCTGGAAATTCTGACTGACAAAAGAGGTGATTGCATGGCACAAAGGATTCTTTTTTTTTTACGGGCAGAGGACGCAGTCAGGTGGCCCTGGACAGGTGGGGTTATCACAAACCTGGTTCCCCCGGCCCCCTGAAGGCCCTCCCCTCCTCTCAGGCCTTGGAGAAAGTGGTGGCCGACGTGCCCGGCTGCCCGGGGCTGCCGCCGTGGTCGTCGTGCCAGCGGTCCACGCAGCGGCGCCGCGCGTTCATGAAGAAGTTGCTGACGGTGCTGAGCTCCAGGCCGAGCTGCTGGGAGATGGTGATCTGCATTTCCTTGGATGGGCGCTTGTTCTCCTTGAAGATGGCGATGAGAGTGCGGCGCTGCAGGTCGGTGAAGACCAGGCGCTGCTTCTTGGGCGCCGTGTTGCGGTCCTTGTGTTGCTCCTGTTCTTTGCGCTTGCAGGCTTGGTGTGGATGGCAGCGGTGGGAGGGATGGGGATGAGAGTGGGAGGCAGAGAGGGGGAAAGAGAACACAAAGCAAGGTAAATATACAAAAGTGACTAGTTTCCTGATTGGGATGGCAACGACGGAAGGTGGAGGGAAGTAAAGTAACTAAATGTACCGTTTAGCCACACCTAAAGACATAGAAACTACTTCATACACAAGCAGAGGTTCTACAGCTCCATCTCTATCTCGCCATATTAAAGTTGATTTAAAGCTAATCCATGCCTCCTGCCCAGTGGGAATATTCCTTCCATCCTGCAGAGTGCAGACAGGGAGCCACCCTGCGGTGAGAGAAAGATGGGGTGAGAAGGGAGGAAGGGTGGGAGGGTGGGGGGGGGGGAGACTGGCTGTTGCCTGCTAGCTGGAGACACTGCTGTTTGATTCAATATTAATGCAGTTTGAGTCGCAATGGGGGACTGAGTGACTGTTGCACAAAAGTAAGCAGTTTGTGTGTCAGTGTGTGTGTGTGTGTGTGTGTGTGTGTAAATGAGAGATAGAGGAGGGGCATTCGCAGGGAAAGAAAAGATTCAGAGAGAAAAGAACAGAAAAGGTGGAGGAGTAACCCAAAGTGTGCGTTTTGTGTGTCTGTGTGTGTAAGAGCCAAAAGAGAGGAGCTGGGAAAAGGAGGGAGGGGCGGCGAGTGAAGGAGAAAGAGAGATATTGACCGACTTTGCTGTAGGAATTGGGGGGTTCTCTGTAGGGACCGGGGTCAGAATCTCCCCCCCCAGCAGGTCTACAGTCTGCTACTTCAAACAGAGCACACTGGAGCCCACTCTATTGAGCTCTGAGAGGGTATTTATAACCCCCCCCCCCCCCCCCCACCCCCCCATGCCCCCTCCTCCTCCACCACCACCACCACCCCTCCCTCCCCAAACACAAACACTCGAGAGGTGCATGCAACGGCTGCTGCGAGCCCCTTCACACACACAGAGCAATTTTCAAAAGAAAGCGTATTCTTCTACATTTGGGAGTGATGCGGGTGGGGGTATGGGGGGGGCGGGGGGGTAGTGAACACAGAAATTAATAGTTAATATGGTGGGTAAGTGTGTTGTAACTCAAAGTACTCGTAGGAGACGGGTGGAAAGAAGCAGACAGGTTCAGGGTATACAAGAAAACGAAAAGGAAAAAAAACACCCAGAGATGATGTCGGAGGAGCGCGCGCGTGTGTGTGTGTGTGTGTGTGTGTGTGTGTGTGTGTGTGTGTGTGTGTGTGTGTGTGTGTGTGTGTGTGTGTGTGTGTGTGTGTGTGTGTGTGTGTTTTGTGTGGAAGGTTAAGGCACCACCTCTGCAGCCACATGTCCCCCTGCTGGCTGAGGATCGAATCCTGCCAGAAAGGACCGTGCGTTCGTCTCGGCCTCCCGACCGTCTCAATAAAACGAGAGCAAATTGGAGAGAGAAAGGGAGAGAAAGACGCCCTCCCTGTGGGGTCTCCACCTGCTGCCGTCGCCATTGTCCAATACTTTCATACTCGCCTTCAATAATGTCTCACTCTCACGCTGCGTGTGTGTATATGTGTCGTGATGCATTTGAGGACGGAGTTTTATTTCCTCTCTCCGCCCCCCCCTCCTTTTGCAGCGTGAGTGTGTGTGTTTTGCAGGGGAGGTTGTGATTATGCTGAAGTGGCTGGAGCCAAGCAGTGGCGCTGTTGTGTGTCTAATTACAGTGGAACAGAGCCCATTGATCAGCCATTGCAGCCCAATCTGTTTACTACAGATGTCTAACCTGCACACGAGCCCATCCATCATATTCGTATTTCACATCAACGCCACAGATATATATTTATCACACACACAGCAGTGCACCACGTCGCGGTTTAAATCCATGGCTGTAAGTACAGGACGTACAGCATCATCATACATTGTGGATTCATTGTAGGATTAAGGGTAGTCATGGCGATGAGGCGGAGGAGGAGGAGGAGGAGGAGGATGTAGTTTGATCGTCTGGATTCGGGGCTCAAATGATTCCCATAAGATGGATGACAATTGACGGGACGGGACGAAACAGTTTTGTAGCGAGGCGTCACGTAAAGATTTAGTTTATCTTTGTATCTATTGTTCCCCCTTAAAGAGATGCTCCACAGATAATGACCCAACAAGCAGCCAACAGCCACAAGCCAAATATTATCCGGCCTTTCCTGGGGGGGAAACTTTGGCCGGCACATTGATGTAAAGGATTTATTAGGAAAAAGATTCTTCAGTTCACTCGGTTCGTGCTTCTTATTCAAGCATACGTCAATTGTGGCTGAGACGCAGCCGACTTATGAGAAAAGCGCAAGTAACGCGTGACCTTTTTGTCGAGGGATCATTCGGTAAAGTCTTCTTGCGAGTCCTCAAACAATTAGTGTGAATTGTTTTTGATCATAAACCGAACACCGACTAGATCAGAAGAGATTCAATTAATCCAGATATTAAAGTATCTGAAGTCCCATCGTGACACTTTCCCTTGATTAAAATGCATTACAAACATGATGTTTTTACATAATTATGTAAGTTACCATAAGTTAGGCTTAAGTGGTCATTGTTTTCTTTCAGTGAAGTAAGATGGTTTTTATGTTTTGTGTGTATTTTTGAATAGACGTAATGATATTTGACTTTACTTCAAGCAAACCTCTTAGCGTTTCAGTCGTATTTTAACACATAACACAGGGATTCCGATGCATTATTTAAGAAAATTATAATGTATTATAACTATGGGAATTTTAATGAATATTTGAAGAAATATCTCTGATCAACCAGTAATAGTTTTTTATGAAATGTGATCGCCATAAAACCTCATGGAGTGCTTTTACCCATAATTCAGTACTTCAAGTTAATTACATGTATGTTTAGAATGCATTATGTAAATAGACGTTGTCAGCAAATGATTTTCCACGTTGGTGAAAATCCATCCCACCACCAATCTGCAGTTTAGCTGAACATTTGGAACTGATGTGTTTTTACAAAAATGTAAAAAGAAATAATCTAAATCTGAGAAACAAAAACCAGTTAGTGGAACTCGTCACTCGTCAGGTAATGTGCAGCCTTGATGGAGAGAAATGTGGCTTCCAAACCGTATTCTTCAACTACAAAGCCACTTTTAACATTTATCCTTTGCCAAAATAACACCAAAGTCTCAGTCAAAACAACCTTGCTTACGCATGCAAACATGGTTTTAGAAGAATGCCCACACCAGAGGATGCTCTTCTTACATGTAGGGACTTGTACTGCACTGAGCTCCCCACTGACCGGGGGAGTAGCTCCCACTTCTCCTCAGCAAAGACCTGCCATCCCCTCCGGCTTGGACTAGTGTTGGAAGAGGATTGGTTTCCCAGCAGGACGGTGAGCCCAAACACGCTGTGAAGTCTGTTTGAAGACCAGCGAGGAGCAGCGAGCAGTGCTGACGTGCACGGCTTTGCCTCCACAGGCACGAGAATTCTACCTCACGGAACAAAAGGTGAAGATTCCAAAGACCGTTTTGGTTTTGTTTTCGGTTTTGCTGAAAGCTTCTTTTGTTTTCTCACAAGCTTTTTAAACTTTTATGTGGTATTAAATGTGACTTGATTGCAGATGTGTGTTGGTATGCAGACCGATGCAACAGCATTTTTTGTATTTGACTTTACAATGACTTCCTCTGCAGCAATACAGTATATATCATTATAAATATATAATGATATATGATGTGATATTTCAGTCCTCACTGACTTCCCATTTATCTCGTGCAGCTTCCAGGTCAACAGACTTTCCTGCAGTACTTGACCTTTGTCTCCTGGGATTCGTACAGATGTGGGACCGTGCACAGGTATTCATATAGAAGCACACAAACTAAGGCCGTCCCAGTATCACATTCTCATTACACAATTATCTGGAGGGGGGGGTCCAAACGCTATTATTCCAACATCTGTGGAAGATTTTGAGAAATAAAAATTGTCAGTTAAATTGGCCTGTGACCTTGTTTATTGCGCATTTACTGTTTTATTTGTATCATTCTACTCAGAGTCTATATCCATAATATTAAGCTGTTTCAGAGGTGTTGGGTTATTTACACAATATGTATTTTATTATTAACATCACATCACTATTTCATTTTTAAATCAGGAAACATTTATTGCCAAAATATATCAAACATACAAGGAATTTGTCTTGGCGGTTGGTGCGCGACAGTATATCACTGTTCTGTATATTTATATATATTTAGAAATATTCTCAACGCCCATGGACCTGAAAATCTGATGTTTTCATTTGTATATAAGCCATTTCCTATTTTTGCCTGTAAACGGATTGTATATTGGAACGTAGTTAACATATAGCAACATCCGGACTCCTGAATAGTCTCTATGGTAACACTTTATTCTCTCTAAATCCCCCAAGAGCTTCAGACTAAAGACGCAGAAGTCCTCCTCCCGTTTTGTGTGGACAGCCGCTCCTCTCTCCACATCCACCGGCGAGTCGCGTCCCGCTCGCCTCATCGACCGCTTGCTCGGTGCCGCTGCGGTCGGCAGGTGTCGCTCTCACCGCGGACCCCGGCTGCACGGGGATTGAGGGGGGCGGGGGGGGCGACGTGGTGTATTTGCTACAGGCGCTGGATTTAGCAATCAATATCGATCGATCGGTGAGGAAGGGGGCCCTGATTACTGAACCAAGCTCGGCGTTAGAAAAGAGGAAAGGAGAAGAAGAAAAATCGATCATTGCAGCTTTTAGAGCTACAGTAGGCACCGGGCGGAGAGGCGGGCGTAAAGGCGCGCACAAAGAGCAACCGGACAAGGGCAGAAATCCCGCTCCGGCGTTGGGTTGAGTGTTTTCCGAGGCGGACACCCCCGCTGCGACACGCAGGCATCAGAGAAACGGGATTTGTGTTTCTCTCTGTATGTCTGTGGACTGCAGCTGGCCTATTTGGAACACAACAACGACTGATTAACGGACGCATCCGTGGCTTTCGTTTCCCAAGTGCGCGTTTTGCATTTTTATTCTAATAGTGTTGTTAG